ACTTCAGAATTAATCGCGGTTTAACATCTATAGTCGTTGATACAGGGATATACAAACTAATTTCAAACAAACATTTTATTATTTCTCATGTTTTTAATCTTTTACTCAAAAAATAACTATATGCAACTAGGATTACATTAATTTAACATAGGCAACACTATTAGCATTTTTATTTGTTTTTCTTGCCGTTAGAGGACACCACTTGCTATTTTTTTATTGTTTATATAAAAATATAGTTTGCCTATCCCTGAATCAGTTTTCAATTGCATAATAAGCAAACTCAAAAGGCGAGCACCCAAGTTAGCAGTCGCAATCGCAATTGCAATGAGTTTATTCGCTCTGCGTGAGCTCGTTTCATTTTCAAACGTAGAAAACCAGCGCCGATTATAGCGAACAATAAGATATTAACTTAATTCCTGTCATAAACCGATTTCTCCGCGTGCGCGCACACACAATATTAACATGTCTCCGCTTTCAACTTTATGTTCACAGTTCAAAGGGTGGAATTAATTAATGCAATTAAGCGATTAGTCTATGATGATGCCAGTACATTGCTGCAGCATGCAGTCGTTTTGTAATGAGAGTTGTAATAATTTGATTCTATTAGCGGGCGCGCAATCAGCGCGCGAGTAATTAATTTTATTTTCAAATGGGTCGAGTAATGATATGCGGCGGCGGGCGTTGACAACAACAACAAAAAACGTGTTCAAGATAAAGTTCAGATAAAGCGCGTACGTAAATGGAAGTTGGGCATTTAACACATTTAAACTTAAGCGATATAAGCTTAAAGTTAAATCACGTGTAGCGCCTTATCGGGTGTTTAATATATATTATTATTATTTATGTTGGCTGGCTGCTTTTGTGTCAATTGTTGTTAAACGCGCGATTAATTACGGACTAAATTGTCAATATTATTGTGAAAGTTACGAGTATGTTCATATGCCATTAACATAGAATTATACCTACTTATAAATGTTTTTGGCTGTAACTTTTGTGTAAAAAGAGATAGAGAGATGATTTTTTCATATATTTGTAGATAATGTTATTAACTATATGATTGAATAGTTGATAATTATATTTATTTATTTATTTATGAGATATGAGAGAAAATAGAAACTATTTGCAAGGTATTTATTGTTTATGTTTTTGCAACTTTTTTGTGCTATAACTTTTGAATTAAAAGAGATAACGATAAAATTCTTTCGTAAATTAGTAGACAATTAGATGTTTTATAAGTTAGCTCATTTGTTATTATTATTTATGAATCACTAATTGAGATAATTAAAAATAGAAATATCTCTGAAAATAGACGAGTCATTTTTCTAGCACAACTTTATTTAGTCATAACTCCGGAATTAATTGAGATAAACAATCGTTTCCTTCCAATAATTAAAGTTCAAATCTTCCATTGTAAAATTATCATTACTATAATTGATTTTTTTTATCAACAAGCAAGATAACTTATCACAAATGCGTTTTCAACGTGGATTTTTGTGTTTCGCATTGAATTCCTCGATTCTAACGCGTAGGTAACTGGAATTTCCACTCTTGGTTTCTTTGACGCTGAAAATATATGCCCCACACCTCTTTTCGGCGCCGCGGCGCGTTTATTTTCGGCGTTCGCGCTCCGCGAGCACGGAAACAAAACCACCTCGGAATTTGACAGCGCGTTTATTGCACGCGCTCCAACCAAACTTTTACTTTATTTTGCCACAGCGTGTTTGTTTTTAGTTTTATAAACGCACGAAAATTGCACATAATATCCTGGCAGGAAGCGAATGCCGGTGTGTCGCGTCGTAAAACTCCACACACACGACAGGATATTATTTCATTGCAGTTGTGTCCCGAAATCGAAATTTTCGAAAGTGTGTGAGTGTCGTACGATCAAATGTCAACAAATTGTGCCTCATGCATATTAATTAATTTATTGTACATATTTATTTCGACGAACAGAAGCGTGACTGCATATTTAAACGGCCTTGTTTAGTATAAACACGAAAAAAATAAATAGAATTAAAAACAAGACTAAATATTTAAATGAAGTTGATGTGCGACTTTTATTTCTAGCTTAAAAATAACAAGAAAAGAAAATATTTTCATGTCTACAAAGTGAAATTACACGAATTTCAACACAGTATGAAAAATATTTTCACTTTTTGTTGTCGACGCGTATGTAAACTTGAAATTTTTGAGCTGTTATGAATAATATTTGCATTTTTTCAATGGCACGCTCACGTAAATGCAGTTTTACTGGTTTTTGCGCTTGGATAATAAAGTGTTAAACTGTTGAAACGGTAGGAATTTGAAATCCTAGCGTGGTACGTGCTGCTTGCTTGTGTCTCTTGTACTGGTTTTGTAGTTTCGTACCCTCCGTGTGACGATGTGACACAAACTTGTCACTTCTGGTATGCGCTTGTTGTCATTTAGTCCAGCGACGACGACGACGACGCCGGTCGGGTTTCTGTGCCAAGTCATTAAGGTAAATGAAACTTGATTTGGCAAGACGAAAGTCTTAGATCCGCTAATAAAGACATCGGCGTCGCCACGAGCTCTGTGTGTGTGTGTGTGTGTTCGCGTTCGAATTCGCCGAAGGCATTTCGGCCGTGTGCGTATTTTTATTATTTAGTTCACGCGTAACGACATTACATTACTACAAGATGCATTACATCCGAGCATGACGGGCGACAATTAAGCATGTGTAACACCATCAAACACCTACTTTTTATATTCTACATAAGTAACACGTAAGAATTAAATTAAATGGTTTTTAAAAATGGCTACAATTTATTTTGTCATATCTCTCTTAATAATAATGTTAGATTAATTGTTTAGACATTCTTACATAGAGGAAGAAAAGTGGATTATTTTTGGGTAATTTGTGTTTTGTACTTTTTTATCTTTTGAGTTATAGACAAAAATGCGTTTTTTATTGGAAATGTATGTATGTTTTCTAATATCTCTTAAAATAATTGATCTACACAAATCAAACTTAATATAATTGTTTATTAGAATATTGTCTATAATTTAATATATAATTTGTTAAAATTGAGTGGTTGGTTCAAAAGTTATTGACAAAATAGTGCAAAAAACATTTAAACACTCTTTTTTGCAGGTTTTACTTATTTTTACTCGACAAAAATCTTTATTGCATGTTGTATTTGCATAAAAAGTCCTGAGAAAACTTTTTGGAAAATTGCGTATCATTCGACGCACGTTTGCTCTCCGAAGAGTTCGCTCGCATTGCTCGTTTTCATTGTCTAATTGTGAGATGACTTTCTACGTGCGCACATCAAAAGCGTTTCGAAACGACTCACGCATAAACAATATGCTGATATACCAGGTGGCGTTCGAAAATATTGCTCTCCTACGACACAAACTCTATATAATCATAGTGAAAGTTGTTATCATTAAACAAAAACAATTAAAACAATATATTTTTAAGTTTTTTGAGTGCTGCCCACTTTTTACAGAAAATTAAGTTTTTATCTGGTTGGCCTTTAAAATCTTCAATTTTGGTTGAATGTTACCTCACAGCTTCAATAACAATATTTATAGAGTTTTATGATAGGTAAAACCGTGAGAGGAGCACAAAATAGAAGAAAAAAACGACGCACATTGTTTAGCGAATATGTGTGAATTCTTCACAATGTGAAACGAACTTTTGTAATTGTAATTGTAGCGTAAATTGACTTCAAATCTTGCATAACACATTTCACTTTGTCTCTGCTAGGACAAATAGTTAGTAAATATTAATACAATGGCTGCATTCATTTCGTTTTCATTCATTTCTTGCCAGACTTTTAGCTTACTCAAATAGAACTAATGGAAGCCGAGAGGTAAAAATGAGCAGAATGTCTTCATTTTATGACTTGCAGTGGAAATATGTAACTAGTATATGCGTTTGATAAATATGCAAATAAGGTGGGCAAGTGTGCGAGGTGGCTTCGCTGATTCCACTTCAGCGCGACGAGTCGGAGAGCATTTCAAGACGGCCAACGCGAGACCACATTCCGATTGCATAAAGTACAGTGTGTTAATTTTAAAGGTTTATTTAAAGATCACAAACGTGTGTGCATCGTGCACGCTACATTGCTGCAAGTATGAGGTGGTTAATTGGGTTGCATAGTAAGAAATAGACGCAGAGTAGCAAATTCCAACCATTTTTTTTGTTATTAGTTAATTTTTACATTAAGTTTAACTTGAAAAAGGTAATAATATGAATGAAAATTAAATCTTCTTTTATTTAATATAAGTTTTATTAAGGTATTTGGGTTGAAAGTTGGTTAATTTTGCGTTTGTGTAGTTTTTGCTCAATTTTTTTATGGTTTTTATGGCTTTTAGATTTTAACAAATTTGGTGTCCAATGAGCGATACTTGTCTTAGTCATATATGAACTAAAATTTAATAACCTATCATTGCTGCAATAAAAGATATGTAGTGATAAAGTTCATTTTTTGAGCTAAAATTTATGTCGACATTGAAATAATCTTAGTTTTCAGGCAAAAATCGTATGATTTATGGCTTGTTAATTTATCGCACACATTAATATTTTAACGATTTGTAAATTTAACGACCAATTGAGGTTCTGCACCAATTTGTTTGGGTGTATTTGGTATTATCTGCCCGCTTATAATTATAAACCCATAAATTTGATTGCTGCGGCACACACATGTCGATAAATCTTGACAATCGCGCATTTCCAGAAAGGAATTTGCCATATTTATGATTTTGAAGTCTTAGAAATACAAATTTGGCGATGATTTGCTATTCTAACAAAATTATCTTGTACTTACCTAACGCCATATTTGGCGACCGCGCAAAAATTCTTAAAAACCTGTAGAAACCAGTTTTTTTCACCTCATTAACTGGTATTTGTCGTTTTGCTTTATTATCGAATTTATTTATTATCAAATTGCATAGCTATATAGCAGGTGAATGAATTTATATGAATATACAGTGCGTTTAGTGTTATATTATGTAATTTCTTTTTATTGTTGCAGTTTGTGGATGCGAGCAACAACGCGTCTTCATGGAACGACGAGTGTGTGGGAAATGTAATTAACTATGGAAAAAGAATCGGAAAGAAAGGTACGTACGTTGGTTGTTCGCTAAATTCTAGTTTGCCTGCTGAAATTACACACATTTCGCCGAAGAAGAGAAAATGCGCACAAAAGACATTCCATCGGAAGAGCAATGGGATTAATTTAAATCTCTTCCTGTTAGACGAGGATCTGATCTGATGTTGGCTGCTTTCCGTTATCGCAATAACTCGTTCGCGCGCGCACACAGCTCACACACACGATAAAAAAACGAATTGATTGACGTCGCGATTGCAATCATAAATAATTCAAGGGCGAGGAGCGCGTTTTTGCGAAATGAGAAATGAGAACGGGAGCAGTCGACAACGGTTTTGCGTGAGTTGTGTGTGTTGTGAGTGGTTTATGTCTCGCCAGCATTCGCGGTTTATGTTCTGTTCGCGTTTGGAAATTAAAACACACGATGGAGCAATGTCAGGAGCGGTTCTTGTGCGCGAGCCAACAAAGCGTGCCCGACGGCTTCCTGATTGAGTCATCAGCATCGATCGTTATCGATGCAAGACAACAAGTCAACCTCTTTTTTTCTTTCTTGTAATCATGGCGGCTATGGATGATTTGTAATTTTTTGTTGTTTTGTGATGATTGCAGGCGCAAAATACGCAATACGTACCGACGAAATGTAGGGTGACGAAACCGGTGCCGCCGAAGCCGGCCACCAATCCACTTCAGTTCGTCGCCGTTAAGCCCAGTCCGCTGCTCATCAAGGCGCAGGAAATCAACAAAAAGGTTGAGATTGTGAAGGAGGCGCGCAAGGAGCGCAAGGAAGAAGCAGAGGACTGGCAGAGTGTAAGCCTAGCAAGTTACTTTTTGGGCTACTAAGCATGCGCTTTTGTTTTTTGTTGAATTGCATGTGTTTAACGGAAAATAACTCTTGATTTTTCATTTCATACTAAAAATTGGCACATTTTACATAAATTTCAAGAGTTATTACCAAAAATTTCCCCTTATTTCTTCTTACTACTTAAATTTCTTCATCTATAGGTGGCGCTGTTGTCACTTTTTTACTTTTACTCTATTTTAAAAAGGATTGTAGGAGCGAAAGTCGATGAAATTGTTTTCCTGATTGTAGAATTTGGATAATTGGAAAAGCAGTCGACGAAAACGACAGGAACACATCATCGAGCGCGTAGAGGAAGTGAAGAAACTAGAGCTGCAAGAGAAGGAGCGCAGCAATTGCCGGCGCGGCACCACGTTTAGCGAAATACTAGAAAAAAGGTACGCGCAAAACCGTAACGTACTCGCCGCTTAACGCTCAATCAATTTAACTTTTGTGCTTGTATTGTATTGTTAGCACACTTTATTATCGGATATATTTAGACGCGGTCACGAAGCACCGTTCACGATTCACAATCAAATTTCATTTCAATCGGTGATTACGTCCTTTCTTCGCGCTGTTATATAATGTACCAGATTACGTTTGTTAATGCGTTGTGTGTCTATTTGTATTATCTGGTTTACGCCCGACAGAAATAAAGGCCGTTTTAACATCCCGATCTACGACAACGATTCGAATGATTTGAGCGATTACGGTATCGGCAGCAGCAGCTCCAAGACCAACAGCATCAAGGATGTGGACACGGACGACAATAGCAGTATATTAGTGAGTAGCGTATTCAAATCGAAATCAGTACAACAGTTACGGTGAGTGAGTGGTACAGTTGGATTTTCTATTATTTGCGATCTAGGATGAAAAGGAGAACTCGTATGATGAGGCGACCAGCCCAACCACAACAACTGTGCCAGTGCGCCACAACGACGAGCAGGAAACAAAAAAAGATGTGAAATTAACAGCAACGAACATAAACACCAACAACACCAATACACACACCAACAATGAGCAATACACTTATGAGGGTGCCATTGAAGATTACCGCTCGCGTATTCGCAGCAAGATCAATCTCAATGAAGCCCCCGTAGAAGTAAAAGTAGAAACTTATAAAAGCAAGGAGTTTACCGAGGCGCAGTCTTTATTGCCGAAGGGTAATCTTACTGAAAGACGACGAATGTTTGAAGCTCATTTAAATGGTACCTCGACCACGAAACCGATCGGTGAGGATTTGATGAATGCGCAGTCTATCAAAGAACGTCTACAGTCTTTAGAGAAATGCACAGAACAACCGGCGCTTGTTACCTCACCGGTGAGGAGTGAAGATGTCCTCGTGGGTAATCTCAAGTCAAGGTTGACGCAATTCACCAACGCATGTGATTCCGATGCCAAAAATAATAACGCTGATGCGAAACTACAACTACCCAAATCCTATTATCCTCTGGATGAGTATTTAGAGCATTCAGAGATGAACGGTTTTCGGCCGTCTACGTCTTCCAGCGATCTCGTCGCCGCGTCTTCCTCGGATCGTGAGGATAGTGGTATTCATACGGCGGATGTTTCCTGCTCAGTGAGTCAATCAGATGAACCTGTTGAAGATGCCGACGTGCAACAGGAGGCTCCGAATTATAAAACTATAACCGAGGCGTTTTTAAGCGGAGAGAAGGATTTTGCTGATAAGACTTATATTGCATTTGTACCAAAACAACTTCCGGAAGATGTTGTAGTTGTAGAGGAAGTGGTAGAGAATATTGTGGAACATTCTCCGTTAGTGGAGAACATTGCAAAGACCATTCAAGAAGTGCCAATCGAGTTGGATGATGAGAAACTTATCGACTTGTATGAAAATTCTCGAGTACCATTCACCATGGACAGCATTGACATCTTTGCTAATCCGTTAGCATCACCGAAATTACAGCCTCCTACTGAGAAACCGCCTCCACCACCGCCACAGAGCGATGACAATGCGAATCGCATCAACAGTCCTTCACTTAGATTCAAAAAGGAACTACTCATAAAGAGGTCCAGTTTTCTTGGACTTGAGGAGGCCGCCATTAATGAACAACTGGAGCAGTTGGAGATTCAAGAGAAGCAGAAGGAAATTGATGAGCAGCTTGTAAGTTTTTTTGTTGTTGTTATCATTCAATATTCTAATTGAATGAATATTTAACCGTAATTTTCTTTCTAGTTGTTACAACACGAGCAAGAGTTGAAGCGACAGCTTCAGTTGCAAGAACAGGAAGTGCTTTCAACACTTGCAAATGGCGTTGGCGAGTTGGTCGATTTGGAGAATGGGCCTACCGATGAAGAAATCATGAAGAAGGAGCGCGAAATTATTGAGATGATCGAGAAGGAAGAGAAATGCAAGCATCACGATGGCGGCATGCTGGAAGCCAAAGACTTAAACAATACGGAGGCAAAACCGTCCATGCCAGCCATGGAGCCTAATGACATTTATTTAGGAAATAAGAAATTTGATGAACCATTTTACCCAGAAGTAAGTTACAATGAATTTTAGTCAGGTGCATTGTAATGGGCATAGAACAAACCAATCACCAGAAACGCTTTGCTTCCTTGGCACACGGCAAATGTATTTATTGAAAGTGGAAGCAAAGTGGAGCTGTTTACACTCCTTCTGTCTGTGAAGGCGTCTTAACTTGTATTGTCATACCCTTTAAAAAATTAATTTCACTATTAATGGTCGCAGGAACACACAATACTTCTGCAAACCGTGAGAAACATGTAGCAAAACTCTCTTCCTTGTAATTGTACTCTGTACTCGTTCACTAGCATGAAAACTCTAACCTATAAACTAATAATATCTTAGAGGGCGCTCGAGAAGCTATTGTACGTTAGTCTATTGTTTACCATGTTCATCATGTTTATTTAATAATGTACTGTGAGCGAATATAAATGAATGATCTTCATCAGAATTCGCATTTTTGAGCTTAATCGTTAATTTTTGTGTACTTCCCTCGTATAGCGGTGTTATGATAATTTGAATGATCAAGACTCTGAGGTATTACGCGTGGAACAGGAACTGCTGCAGTTGGAGCAGGAGGAATTGAAGCGTCAACGCGAAATTCAGCTTTTTAAGGAGCGCTCGGCCAAATTGAATAGCGCTAGCACATATGAAAATATGTACTTTGATTGCTTTGCAAAGAATGCAGACACGCGAAAATCTATGCCTGATTTGAAAAATTTAGCGCCTCCGATGATGCGGAAGTCGATGGCGAACGTGCAACCACAGCCGCCATTACAACAACTTCCGTTGGTACATGCCGGCCATCGGTTGCGAACGAATAACACACCGAAATATGACTTAGGAATACCTGTAAATCACCGCAAGTCGATGCCGGATCTTGATCGTACAGTACAATCGGCGTTCACGAATAATAATCTTTTAATGCCGATTCAACCACTGAAACCGCTCGAGAAAAAAGACCGTTATATGAGGTTAGTGAGGGCATCAGCCATTTTAAAATGTAACCAAGTTTTTCAACTTTTTCCTAACTGATTTGTGCCGTTTTAAGTCATAATCCAATAGAATCGGATGCTTACAAACACCCTGGACGAGGTATGCACCGACATAGTTTGCCAAATCAACCTCGGTCGAAGTCTACGCCGCGAGAAGCTTGGATTCAGCCAAAAGCCAAACCGCAAACGAAGAGTTACAACCAACATTGGTTGTATCAAGTAAGTTATTAACAAATTTTATGTTTTTTGATAAATTCTAATAATTTTTTTAAACAGGAAGCTGAATTACGTCGTTTGGCAGATCAACAGAAAGCGGCTTCTATACAAAATAGGAATGTGATTGATCCAAAAAGGATAATGAATGATCCTAAAAGAAGGTAACAATATAAAACACCTTATAAACACTGAAAACACTTATATTTTGTTTTATTTTATTAGTATCGATCCAATGTCCCAAAAAGATTATGTTAATATTCCCTACATGGGAAGACAACCTCCGCAAACGTATGGACACGCTTTACCCATGTCGTATCCACAGTCTCTGGCTGTGGAAAACGATCGGGACGTGATTCTAAGCGTGAGTGGAAAGAAAAAGTGTTCGTATTGCAATAATGAGTTAGGTAAGTTATAAAATCAACTAAAAAAAAAGCCTAAAAATGCATAAAACCAAATATTTCAGGACGTGGTGCAGCGATGATCATCGAAAGTCTTTCGCTGTTCTATCACATGGAGTGTTTCAAATGTTGTGTGTGCCACATTGAGCTTGGTGATGGCCTCATGGGTACAGATGTACGCGTGCGCAATCAGAAGCTGCATTGCCACAACTGCTACTCCAGCGACGACGGTATAAAATTCAGTTGCGTTTAGTAAAAGAAAAAGAGGTTCATAAAAATTACTAAATCCGGTTTTCGGAATTCGGTTTCATGACTAACACTTCTCACCGGGAAGTTTTTGTTTATATTTGCGTAGTCGCATAGAACAATTTGTTTTTATTTTATCGTCTTTTCACTTATTTCACTCATGTATGATTGATTGTCACGCATGTTTGTGTGTAGTTTTTGTTTGTTTGTGAGATTATTACTACGCTATGGACGTATTTGGAGTTAGGTGTTTGTTATGCATATTTTTTGAACAAATCGGATATTATCTAATTTATACCATACCTCATATTCATTTTTTGTTGTTTCTCCGAAGTCTGGAAAGTCACGAGACGGGAGCATCACTTTTATGTATTTGTATATTTTAATAGTTTAATGTATATTATTATAAAATATATATAAAAGTCATATAAAAATTGGACGGAATTACACAATGTTTTAAATCTTACTACAACAAAACTTTTCAAGTTTTTTCTTATTCCTAATTCGTCAATTTGTAATAAAAAAAATTAAATTTAGCAGCAGTAGCTATGTGTGATTTGTTTTGTTTGTGTAATTGTTTTAGTAGCAGTAGAATATTTGTGTATTTTGTACTTGTAGAAGACTGTTGTGTTCCTAGACGTCAGTTTAATATGTCTTACTGTTTGTTCTTAAGTAGAGATTCGTCGTGAGACTCTAATAAAGCAACTTCTTAACTTTTACTTGAACTTTAAGGCCACAAAAGTTCAATATTTGGAGATTGCATCTCAGTGAAGACTTGGAACTGTGAGTAAATCACCAACCAGCAATACAACTGCAATATATATCAAAATATTATTAGTTTATGAAGCTAATAATAATTTAATTAGTTTGACTTACATGGTAACCCATCCAGATCCAAGTAATCAACGTGTAAAACACGGTGTCAAGCTGAAATAAAAATGGCGGCCGTTTTAAAACTCAAACTAATTTGTTAGAAAAACTTGTTAACTCACATAAATATAGTAGCCACCAATCATCCACAGTCCCCACACTAACTGGAAGGCAATTGCTGTGCCAAACAATATCATCCAGGGCAGCATAAATCCTCTGTTCATTCTTTTCAATCCCATGACAAGCAATACAGCAGATATGATCAACAGAATGAAGTAGAATAATAAAAATGCCCCAACTACTTGCATAGCTATACAAATTTTAATAAAATTAAAACAAATTTCATTAATTTATTTTGTAAACAAATGATAATTGTTTATACTTACATAACCTAATATCTGCCTCAAACAAGGGATTGTAAAGTTGGGTGGAATCACCTCCAGTCATATAGAAAACAATAAAAGTCATCAAAACGATGCTCATTGCTACCGTGTAGAAAGCGATGGATTTCACTCCGGAATGCAAATTGTCCGTCCATATAAATGGGGACCAGCAGGAGTTTAAAAGTACCATTTTGAGTACTGCAATAAATCAAAATATAATAAAGGTGTGTTTAATACGGTTTGTATAATTGCAAAACTTGAAAAACTCACTTTGTGGGTGATATTAGAGTGTTAATACAGTGGGAGATTGGTGGCTCTAGTTGAAAATACTATTTAGTTTTACATTAATAACTGGGAATGGCACGCCCTGGATGAGTAAATCTTGGTTGTTGTGTTGTTGTCACGTTTGTTCGCTCGCACCTTTATTTCGCTTCTTTTATTTTCGTGTGGTGGGAAACTTAAGAATGCATTGCCAACAGTTCGAAAAGTTAGAAAAATTTTAAATTTATTGAGGTAGTACACAAAATTTAGTCTTTACTTTATAAAATTAGATCAACAATGTAGATTTTCTCAAGATTTTATTGTATTTAACTCATTTTGTTATTATTTTTGTTTTATATTGCGTTTAAAAGTTACTACTCTAGTGAAGTTGGTATTGCAGCACGCCGTGGTAGATGGCGCCCTCTACAATGCACTCGCCGACGTCAAAACCGTCGATGCCGCTTGTTTCTTGCGTTTTACGTGCGGTTCCTCCAGAGTTAACTCGTAAATTTGATCATATTTGTGCAGTTTGTGGGTTTTCTATGGTACTAATTGTGTAGGCTCACGGTATAGGGCCGGTTAACCATAGAAAACAATGCTTTAATTGCGTGTTTGTGCTTCGACTCTCAATTACTTCATTTCGTTTCGCCGACATCAACCGCCACAAAAAATGATTGCGTTTGGGCCGAAGAAGGACGGCAGTCCCAACAGTAAATATTTCGAATGCCCTGAGACTTTAAACGCTCTGGGAGCAGTAAAGATATGGCTGCAAAAGAATGCAAAGAAGGTAAGTTCATGGTTAATCCTAGGAATTTGTGATAATTATAATCATTTATTATTTGTGTATAGAATATCCAGTCAGATCCTTTAACCAACAATTCACTATCTGCACTGGTTATTCAAATGCTGCAATTCCAAGAGGACACATTGGGCAAAAATGCTGCCAAACCACCAATGACCAGAATACCAGTCAAGTACTTCATGGATTTTAAGCCTGGAGGTGGTCTTTGTCAAATACTTGCAGCTGCATACAAATTCAGGGTGGAACAGGGATGGAGAAAATTTGAATTTCAAGTTGGCAAAGTAAGAAATTAATATTTTACAAATAATTTATTTGTTTTATCTAATTATTTTAATATTATTTCAATAGAATCCAGCCAAATTGGACAAATTGATTGAAATGTACCAGTCAATTGAGAAAGCTCTCATACAAAATAAACTCTACACATTGCCAAACTGCTTCATCAAGAGTGAAGTAGAGAAAAATCTCGCCACCAAACTAAAGGATATTTTGAAACGTCGTGGAGGACAACTTGTTGAATCCGAAGCAGCCGCCACTCACATTCTCTATCCACACAGTGATCCACTTGATGAAGAATATGCCAGACCAGGAATGAGGCAGGATAAGATGATGATGATGCATTGGTATTATTTTCCCGAGTCCTACGATACCTGGGTTAATGCCGAGAGTATTCTTGATGGTAAATTATTAAAATTTATAATTATAAACCATTTTTAACTAATAAATTTGTTTAGGAATGTCGTTAGACAGCCCATCACCACATAGCGGTTCCTGGCGCGTCTCCTGCACATGGTTACTTGATTCGGACCAATACAACGAGTGGATGAGCGAAGAGGACTACGAAGTCGACGATTCCGGCAAAAAGAAGATTCATAAGATGCGACTATCTGTCGAAGATCTTATGAATCCTGGAGATGATAAACGGTTGGTATATATTTTTAAATAATTGGAGCGTTGCGTTAATTATTTGTTTTTGACAGAAGAAAAATCAAGCGAAAACATTCGCCTTCGCCTCCAGCTAAGAGTGGTAAACGAAAAAGCGGCCGTTCACCTGCTATCGGAAAGAAATCCCGTCTTGACGATGAAACCGAAGACCTCACGAGAGAAATGGATGACCCGATGCCAGAGCCAAATATTACTGAGGTCAATCCACCGGTTGTAGCACCGCCCCAACTGGTAAGAAAGATCATGAGTTGCAACCGCTGAAAGGCGGTTCAATTACTGATTTGGACGAGGCAGACGAGCGAGGTGAAGACTCACAAACTGGTAAGAACTCCGACACTACCACCCAGGATGATGGACAGGAAGATAATGTCACAGAACAGACGCATCATATCATAGTCCCCTCGTATTCTGCTTGGTTTGATTACAATTCGATTCATGAGGTCGAAAAACGCGCGTTGCCGGAGTTTTTCAACAGCAAAAACAAATCGAAAACTCCGGAGATTTACTTGGCGTATAGAAATTTTATGATTGATACGTATAGGTTGAATCCGACTGAGTATATTACGAGTACTGCGTGTAGAAGGAATCTCGCTGGCGATGTTTGTGCGATTATGCGTGTGCATGCTTTCCTCGAACAATGGGGTTTGATTAACTATCAAGTTGATACTGAATCGCGACCAACTCCGATTGGTCCGCCGCCTACTTCACATTTTCATATTTTGTCGGATACACCGTCTGGGCTACAGCCGGTTAACCCGCCGAAAACTCCTCAACCTAGCGCCGCGAAAACGTTGCTTGATTTAGACAAATCTGCTGATCCGACTAAGAAAACGGAAGCGGGCGAGACTATTTCCAGTTTCGGTTTGAAACTTGATCAGTACTCGAAGAAACCCAGCGCAATGAAGAATAAGAGTGCTGCGTCCATGGCTAGGGACTGGACAGAACAGGAGACTTTACTGTTGTTGGAAGGTTTGGAGATGTACAAGGATGATTGGAATAAGGTTTGTGAACATGTTGGGTCACGTACGCAGGATGAGTGTATTTTGCACTTTTTGCGCTTACCAATTGAAGATCCGTACCTGGATGATCCGGAAGCAGGAGGTGCTTTGGGTCCTCTTGCATACCAACCGATTCCGTTCAGTAAGTCAGGGAATCCTATCATGTCAACAGTTGCGTTTTTGGCTTCTATCGTTGACCCGCGTGTTGCGGCAGCCGCTGCAAAGTCGGCAATGAATGAATTCGCTAGTATTAAAGACGAGGTACCCGCGGCTCTAATGGATGCTCATTTGAAGAATGTCGAGGCTTCTTCAACTGATGGCAAATATGATCCTGCGGCTGGTTTGGCTCTGAGTGGAATTGCAGGCACAGTTCCCGAAAAAGAGGAAGATGACAAGGTTAAAAAGGAAACCGATTTAAAAGACGATGAGAAAAGCGATGGCGAACAAAAGAAAAATGGAATTGAAACCCCAGAAGAAAGCGAGAAAACACCTAAGTCGGAAAAAGACGAAGAAAAGGAAGAAGCTATGGAGGTGGATGTCAAACCGGAAAAAGTCGTACGTGACAGTGAAATGCAGAGTGCCGCTGCCGCCGCTCTTGCAGCAGCCGCAGTGAAAGCTAAACACTTGGCAGCAGTTGAAGAGCGCAAAATAAAATCGCTGGTAGCTCTACTTGTTGAAACTCAAATGAAGAAATTAGAGATCAAATTGAGGCACTTTGAAGAACTGGAAACAACAATGGAACGAGAACGCGAAGGCTTAGAATATCAGCGACAACAATTGATTACAGAAAGGCAGCAGTTCCATTTGGAGCAATTGAAGGCGGCAGAGTTTAGAGCGCGTCAACAAGCGCACCAGAGATTGCAAGCGGAGCAGGGTCAACAATGGGCGCAACAACCGCCAGCTGCACAACATCCAACACCGGAGGTAGCGGCAAGCACCACTCCAACGCCGCCATCGCCGCAAGCCGCTGCTGTTGCATCACCGGCAGCGGGCGCTCATCATATTTAATTCTATCTATAAACTGATAAAAAGATTTGTTTTCTTTTTTTTAATTGTATGTACTACTATAGTTTAGAGTCGTATAATTTCACTACACGCGTTAGAATATTTAATGTGTGAGTTTTACAAAGGTGAGGATCTAAGATTTGAATAATGTACGCGAATACTTTACATATAAATTTTTGATTCAATTCCATAAACTGCGTACGTAAATTTAGTTTTGTGTTGGTACAAGTTTCATTTTTACAACACAAATGGCGAAATGATCGCAAATAAAGTAAGTAGAGTTGTGAATTTTAGCAAATAATTATTGTTCAGATACATAGCTTCTCTTGTATCAAACGCCGTGTGGTAGAAATGTAATCTATTCGAGTTTAGTATTTCCAATACCGTATTGTGCCGAACACAAACAGCGTTCGCTCTTTTCTCTCGCACGACAAGCATCACGCAAATAAACGTGTTGGTAGTGGTGGTGGTAACAGGTGGGTAGGTCACGCCGGCCGCCGCCGCCACCACCGCGGCGTATTGATGAGCATCCTTCGCCGCGACAATTCATGCATAGATCGCCTTTGAATATCATCTAATTATGTGTGGCTGAGTTGCCATGCATGAGCCATCCTTTCGCTTCCAGGTGAATAGGCAGCCGGCGCTCGCGCCACCAGTCCGACGAACGACACCTCCGGTGGCGGCCGCTGGCCCGAGATGTCCATCCGTATTCGCGAGTACAAGTTCTTTCGGAGTCTTAGTGTTAAAGTGAATGACAATTGGCCGGTGCGCAAGGCGGAACAGATATGGAAACAGTTACGCGCTCACAAGATTGCAGGCAAGTGCTGTGAAAGAATCAAATTACTTGTTTAATGTAACTTTAACGAGAAACAAGATGGCCGACATTAAAAATGTCCCTTTGTAGTTGATTCCAGATAATAGAATCTGTGTTTTGATGCGTAATACTGTTGTGAACGCGTGTTTAATTCTGTAAAATTTGCCGGCTTTGTCTGTGTAACAGGAAGCAAGGAAATAAACATTTCAGTGCTTTCAATTGAGCTATAAATAACGTTTAATGGCCGCCATCTTGTACAGGTGGACGGGAATCAAAATATTTATACAACTATCAAGTTCATTCGGTACTGTTGTCTATTAACTGCGCTTTGATTTTTATTACAAAAGCTATCAATCAAATATTTTTATTTTACGATTTTGTGATTGATTGAATCAATCAAACTGGGATAGCTGGCATTTGTAGAAATATTGATTTGCTTTGCTATTTTTACATGTTCATTGTTTGGTTCGATGCACATCGCACATTGTCCTGCCGGCGCGTGCACACACAGAGATCGAAGCGTTGGAGGCATGCAAATGGCTGCGCGCTGCAGGATTCCCGCAGTATGCCCAGCTTTACGAAGGTAGAATAAAACAATGCTTCAATGTCACCATTCATTGTTCATATACTCGTTGTTCTCGCGTGTAGATCAGCAGTTTCCGGTCGATATCTCGGCCGTGGAGCAAGACCACCCGATGTTGGAGGCGTCCGTGATGAAGTCGCTTTTCCGGAGGTTGCAGGCGCTTAATAGATGCGCTAATGTACACCAGCAAAAGCAGACGGAGGCTGATGAAGAGGAGGAAACATGCGCGCTTAGCGAAAATTGGACCTATCAGTCTGATGTTCGAAGATGGTCCAGGGTGGATCAATTAGAAATGCGTATGCATCTTTTCCCTAAAACGATAAATTTGCCTTTGGTTCACTTTTCAAAAGTTTTTTTTTATTTCTTAGCGACCAATATTGACGAATGGCACAAGAATGTCCTTAAAAAACAACAATCTAAGCATCTTTCAATCCGTGATAAGTTGGGGATTTTTGGGTCAAGTAGACATCGCCGGGGACGCGATGGGGCCAGTGAGGGTTCACCTGTGCTTGATTTCCTCTCACGGCAGATCAGTGGAATGAGCACAAATGACGCGGCAACCAGCGGAGATAAAGTGGCACCTTTGGAAGCGGATTGTGCGGATTACAATAGCCGTTATAGAAACCGGAAGACACGATCCTTTGATCGCACTGACCGATGGACCAGTTCTCCTAGTCACAATGCTAATCAGGATAGAATTACCTGGCGGGCTTTATCCACCTCCGAAGAATGGGACGACGAAAAATTTGACCTGGAAGAAGGGGGACGACCAATTTTCACCTTAGCTTGTACGCAACTTCATGTTTTGCGGAAATTAGCATTGTTGAAATTGACCGCCCATATGGAAAAATACTGTCCCACACATCGCACTGGTTGGAATTGGGACCTGCCGAAATTGATGCGCAAAATCAAATCACACGCATATCGTGAAAAGAGTGTATTCGGTGTACCTTTAACTGTTATCCTTCAAAAAACAGGTTCTGCACTCCCCAAAGGCATTGAGGAGGCTTTGATTTGGTTGCAACAGAGTGCGTATGATCAAGTTGGATTGTTTCGAAAGTCTGGGGTAAAGTCACGCATTGCTAATTTGAAGCAGTTGATTGAAACGCAAGCTGGGGATTGCCTCAACTTTAGCGAATATCAAGCACATGACATTGCAGATGTAATCAAGCAATATTTCCGTGAACTACCGGAAGCATTGCTGACCAATAAACTCTCAGAAACATTCATGTTAATATTTCAATGTAAGTTTTGAGTACAAACTTTGATTCTACTTGTATTAATTTACTTTTATTAGTTGTACCAGAAGAAGAACGGCGGCAGGCTGTACTATGTGCACTTTTACTAATGCCTGACGAACATTGTGAGATTCTTTTGGTCCTTTTGAGATGTCTCACGAGCATTGCCGAAAATTCCGTGGTGAATCAAATGAACGAAAGTAATCTGGCGGTTTGTTTTGCACCATCTTTGTTTTATTATTCTAATGCAAACACGGCAGCACGTCTACCAGCTTCATCAGCATCTAACACAACCAACACAAATGCGCATGAGAAAGAACTAGCCGAGCACAAGGCAGCTCATGATTGTTTACTTTATTTCCTTCAAAACTGCAATAATCTTTTCAAAGTAAGTTTTACTTTTAATTTTTTTAATTTTTTATTATGAGAGTTTCTTGCAGATTCCTCGTGAATTTCTTCAACAGTGTGCCTCCAGCGAAATGAAAGAAACAAGTGTAATGAAACTTTCAGAATTAGGTCTAGACAATGGCGGATGGAAAGGATACATGCAGGACTGCCAAAACGTGATGATGCGAGAATCACGAGAAAAGGACTGGATCTATATCCAGACGTACAATCCAAAGATTGAGATTTCGTATAAGAAAATCAGTGATGGGTACCCGCTGCGCATGTGGAGATTATGTTGCGAGATTGACGCTCCTCCTGGAGAAGTCCTGTACCGTATTTTGAAGGAAAGGCCCAAATGGGATAAAGAGTTGCATTCAACGCGGACCCTGTCGCAGATAGATAAGAATGTCGAGTTGTTTCAGTATGCGCGAAGGAATGTAGGTCCTTTGCCGATGGAGGAGTATTGCGTTGTGCGCGCATGGCGTACTGATCTTCCGGGTGGAACCTGTCTCATTATAGAAACATCTGTGGAAGATCCAGAGGCGGTAAACATTCCAAATAGTGTGCGAGGCATTGTCCTTGCCTCGAGGTATCTTATTGAAGTCTACGGAGGCAATAAATCTAGACTCACGCACTTTTCAAGAATTGATACAAGGTACAGTGGTTTTGAATTTTTATTGGTTGAAATATGAGTGTTGTTATTTTTCATTGTTACAGAGGTAGAATGCCGGAGTGGTATCATAATAATTACGCCCATATATGTGCAATCAATATCACCAACCTGCAAAAGTCCTTTAAATCAAACGGTGCAAGTACCGCCGGGCAGAACTAATGCGATATATACTCCCTTTCGTCCTTTTTACATGGCCTTTTTGGCAGTCATATTCATGCTGTTTATGCTGTAATGATGTGTAGCCAGCCACGCTGAATAAACACACAAATTGAATGTACCAAATCGTTAGTTTTAGATTATCTTATTGTAGGCAAATGTATGAACATTAATAAATATTATTGATAATGAAATCAATTATTGCTCGTGCAACAGTGCCGAGTGCGCATGATCCTGGCTCGTGCTAAGCTGCTGGCTGGTTGTGACGACTGAGCGTCAGTCGGTGCTGCGCTACGGTGGAGCTTGTACTTGTGTTATTCGTCATCTGAGCAATTTTATGGACTTTGTCAGATCCACGCCATTTATCTAGCTCGAAAAGCTGGAAAGCTAAGTCGTAAGCAACGAAGGCAAAAATTGGGTGGATTTATTTTCGGCGCGCGCGTGTGTGCCGTCGGCCGCCGATGGTCGGATCGTTTTTAGTGGCTCCTAATTCAATTGTTAATAAATCATGTGTGTTCCCATGTGGAAGGCTTTCAACGCAAAGGTTATTAAGTTATTTAATTACTTGTTTGTGCACTTTAGTACCTACTTCATGGATGGAAGAACATGGGAGTAAATAACATTGAGTAAATTTTGTCTTTGTTTTTGAGTACGTTTTTTATGTTTACATTTTATAATACTTTATTTTTACATATAAGTTACAAAGAAATTGGTAATAAAGTAAAGCTATGAAGAAACGAAAAGGTTCTTGATCATACCCCAAGGCGAAACATGTAATTAATGTAATTAATCACGTAAAAGTAAGGTATTACACAATTAAGTAAACATTTACTTCTGTTTAATTTTACAGATAATATCGCTTAGCTTTTGCGTTTTTTCAGTGCCTTGCCCTAAAAAAAGTTTTTGCAGCTTTTGCATTAAAATTCTTTATTATTTTCCTAACTCGTATAACTTATGGGTTTAACCCTCGGGAAACTTACAAAAATGCCCTTTTCGTGTTTTTCGGTCGGGTAATTTTGTGTTTTTGGTGTTTATCGGACGAACGCCATGTAGTAGGGCAACCGTTCATTAAAATTCTTTAGAATTTTCATATATTACTTATGGGTTTAACCCTCGGGAAACCTAACAAAATGCCGTTTTTGTGTTTTTCGGTGGTCTAATTTTGTGGTTTTTGGTATTTGGCAGACCAACGCCATGTCGTAGGGCAATCGTTCTTTCACCAAATTGTAGGTATTAAAATTCTTTATAATTTTCATATATAACTTGTGGGTTTAACCCTCGGGAAACCTACAAAAATGCCCTTTTGGGGCATTTCACGCGATTTCACAGGGCAACCATTTTCACACTATATTGTTGGTATAAAAATTCTTTATAAATTTCATATATTACTTGTAGGTTTAACCCTCGGAAAACCTACAAAAGTGCCCTTTTTGTGTTTTTCGCTCGGCTAATTCTGTGTGTTTTTTATTTTCGCAGGCGAACGCGATTTCACAGGGCAACCATTTTTGCACTAAATTGTAGGTATAAAATTTCTTTATAATTTTTATATATAACTTGTGGGTTTAACCTTCGGGAAACATTTCAATTTCGATTGAATTTTTTTGTTATAATTTTTTCGGTCGAAAAACAGAGTCAAACTTTTTTATTAAAAATTTTTTGGTTGAATTTTATTGTTAAAACTTTTTTGTTCGAATTTTTTACTTAAAATTTTTTCGATCGATTTTTTTTACTTAAAAATTTTCCGTCAAAGAACAGGGTCGAACTATTTTGTTAAAATGTTTTTCGATCGCAGATCGGTCGAATTTTTTAGCGATTATTTCAAGCACAAAAAGGTCTACGAAAAACGAATGCATTTTTCTCTAAAATTGTAAGTCTAAACGGTTAATATTATCAAAATTTTATTATCGATGTAGAATTAAAAATCTCAGGTTTTAGATTTAAAATATAATCTAAATTAATAGTTCCATGCATAGTTCGAGTAGAATTCTATTCATGTTCTGCACTACCACACTGAAAGTATCAGTGTTTATAAACAAACATGTTTTCTTATCCCGTGCAATTTTTGTGCGATCGCCACGCGGTTGGCTTGTGCAGTCTCATTATTGTCGTCAGGTGGTCTGCACGCACATTTTCTTCATTATTCTTGAGTTGCTAAATGCATCTTTAAATGTGCGCGATTAATGTACGGGGTTCGTACCACGCGGATTGGGCATACTCAGAGGAAAAGCGTGAGTGATGTTCCGTCGGCCGTCGTATTCTTTTTGTATTATACACGTATTTCATCGTTTCTACAATGTGCATAATTAAGGTCCATACAACTTATTGGATATACCAAAACGCAAACATTTATTTTGCATCAAGGTACGTTCTCGCATTTCTTCAGCCAACTATTGCAATCAACTTTTTTGTTGAGCCTATCGCGATAGCAACACCGCGTGACCGCGTGGTCGTTTCAGAGCGCGCATTCAGTTCCATTCCGGTTACCGAGCGGAACACGCGTGTTCATCGTGACTGTTTTATTTCTCCCTATTATAAATTGATCGTAAATCGATTTATATTCAATAAGTAATCGATGACATTTATTAAAATTACGCGTGAACGGAATTTCGCCAGATAATAAGCACGAGTGAACTACTGTCGGTCGTCGGGAATATTTTTAACTTGGATTTATGTTTAATTCGAATAAGTAGTCAACGGATGTGCCCGGAGAAGAAGTTTACACTTACTGGAGTTCCGAATATTCATCGCAGAAGAGTTGCAAATGTGCGCATATTTTAAGGCAAGTCTTCCGCGGCATTTAATAGCTGTCGATATTTTTCTATATAAAAAATGTTTGTATTTCTAAATGTTGTCAATAAAATAAAATTAATATCAATTAATATCTCATTCATATTTGTTTTTGGTATCCTCCTTGACGTTTTCAGTATATGAGTGTTTCACACATACAATATAGATATTATACGTGTGGATCGAGTGCAACATATCTGAGTCTTGTGTTGTTGTTTTTAAAAAGTTGAATATAGTAAAAACATAAATAAAAGAATCAAATATAAATGATAAAAACACTCGGTGGTCGAGTGGAGACGTGCACCTGCTGGCATGCTAGAAGGCACGGATCGAATCTCCGGTACAGAAGGCATTTTTCTCAAATATAAAAATAACAGGTGTAATTTGGGTTGCATATGAAAACTCAAATGAAGTATAATAGAAATTGCAATACAAGTGAAGGCAATATGAGAAGTAAAAAAGTAGTAATTGGAAAAACGGAGAACAGAGAAATAAGAGAAGTAGAAGAAGGAATAGCAGAGGAGAGTAGGAGACAAAAGGAAGAGAATAGAGTAGAGAAGAGGAGGAGATCGAAGAAAGAGAACAGGAGTGGATCAGATTTTTAAATTTTTTGGCACGTGTCGTTATAAGACAGTCTACAGGTCGATCTCCCATTGCGTCCATTGCTCCCGGCCCATCCTACAGCTACGATGTCTCTGCGCTTCATCCCCGGAATTATCAGGCATATCAACAATTTTTATGGTGGGGGATCACCCCCAGAGAGAGGGAACTCCTTATAAGGACATCCTTTTAAGGACTTGTAAAAATATTTCTAATTCTTAAAAATATTCTTACAAGTTCTCACCTGTAGCTGAAATGAAAGATGGAGTACACAAATCATACAGGATACCTTAACAATTTTTATAGTGGGGATCATCCCCTGAGAGAGGGAACTCTCTTAGAGACCTGTTCCTGAAATGATAGAAGGGGTACATTCAAAGCAGAAGACATAATATTTCTTTACATTTCTTTATTAATAAATACATTGTAAAATAAAACAAGTTTAGATTTTACAAGTCAACAGAATTCATGCAGCCGTATTGAAATAGGACTTCCGACCTGCTTAGCCGCGCAAGCAAGCGAGTACCACTTCTAGCGGGATAAAGCAATTAGCAAAGTAAATTTTTTTGTGATTGAAAAGGAAACAAATATACAGGGTGTTACAAAAGAAAATTAAGTACAGGAAGTTAAATTCTAATAACAGTCAAGGCAAAATTTTCAGGGATGTAAAGGAAAACGATTATACAAGGTGTCACAAATAGAAAATTCAACCATCAAAGAGGAAAACATCTGAACACTACAAATATTGCTCGTTTTCACCAGATGCTCCGGGAAACTAATAAACAGAGTAAACTTAAAGTGCAAAAAAGCCCTAAAACTACAGGAAAGTTTTCAAGGACACAAAAAAGTAAATATACCGGGTGTTCCAGAAGGAAAATCCCAAGTCTAAAACAAAGAACACTCAAAACTCACAAATAAAGGTGATTTACTTAGTACTGTTAGGAAAACTAATATACAGGGTGTTACAAAAGGAAAATTTAAAAATCTACAAATATGGTCAATATTCACATCATGACGAGAGAAATTTATACCGAAAAACTATAAAAATATATTTTAACATAAATTCAAAGATTTTACCCGAAAATCATCGGAAAAGTTGAGTAAAAAAGGTGCTACAAGAAACACTTACATTTTAATATATTGTGTATATATTTATCATTTGATGATAGCATCAACTTCATAAGGTAACCGACGGGTAAAGCATCATCATAAATTGATAGAACATCCGGCGAACAACATCCAAATCAGCAGACGGCAAGCGACGGCGCGTGGTAATACAATAGGTAGGTATATTCGACAAAAATAACTAGTTACTTTTAATATTAAGATATATGGAGACTATGATAGCGAAAAACTATTCAACGTACAAGATTTTATTAGATCAAGAAGAAACTTTTGAATTTAATAATGCAAAGGAGTGTAATTCGATAAAAACGTTCAACGAAAAGAGGAACGTGCCGACGGTCGACGGTAAAGTGAGCCTGGTCGACCACACAAATATTGTCATTTTAATAATCCTCAGATACTTTTTAACACAGTGTTTGTAATAATTAAATTATGCATGTTATTTTCAAAAACAGAATCTTAAGAATTCTGATAAAAATGCTACCATGTGTTTATAATCTACAAAATTAATATCCTTCAAATGGAATAATCAATTTAAGTTAAACCGTCTTAACTTTACGCGAAAAATGTGATTAAACACCTACCAGTGCATTGATGAAGAAATTTTAGATCCAGGAATATATCTTATCAACTGAAAACTCGCGCAGAGATTAAAGGACACTTATTTCTCACTTAAGAACACTCTAACCGCCACAAATCATCAAACAAAACAGGCACACATGCTCGTTACGAATATTTTTCTGATGACGAAAAGAATGCACGACGATTAATTGAATAATTGAAGTCTGAAAACGCGTGGCAATTACAGAGACGCGTTCGCGGACCACGCGGTGAAACGACTGCCGTGTGCGCTGCGAGAAACCAGGTACAAGGCAGGTGCGTAGCAATAATATGCGTCAGTCAAACAAAAAAGTTGTTTATATTCAAACGTAGTGGTAAACACGTAGTTGAGAAGACAAAAGTAAAAATTCACAATACTGAAATAACACACATACACGAAATCTACTTTTACTATCAATATTTCTCGGCATTAGAAAAAATGTATTGGTTTTGGGATGCAATAAGGATGAAAAAACACAGGAATTTTTAATTTACCAGTACAAATAAATAATTTATTGTTTTCTAATTGTCTTCATATAAGTTTACTGTATACCTACTCGTAAGTTAATTAAATAATTAATTGATGTTTAGAACACCGCGACTAATTTAAATATTCTCTATAAAATAAAGTATTAAAATAGGTAAAATGAGTATACCATCGTAGGGTGCCCTGAACACAAGTCACTTCTACCGCTACCTTCGTACCGTGCCCTGAACACGAGTCACTTCTACCGCTACCTTCGTAGGGTGCCCTGAACACGAGTCACTTCTACCGCTACCTTCGTACGGGGCGCTGAATACGAGTCACAATTACGCATCTGGGAAAATTATTCTGAGTTAACTCTAACACCCCGTTCGCGTGTTATACTAAAAAAACTATAATTCCTAGCGCAACGAGTACTAAGACGCACACACACAACTTTCAATATAACTCGCGTTGCGGAATTTTCTCGCCATAAATTTCAACACAGTGAGATACAGAATTAAATTCCGCATCTGGAAAAATTATTCCGAACATACTGTGACACCGCGTTCGCGTATTATACGCGTATTATAAAGTGCAAAATACAAAAAGAAAAACAACTAAATAACATCATTTCTGGAGTAAAATAATGGGAAACTAGTACACAGGGTGTTGTAAAAATCAATACAACGAAGCAAATTTAAAACAGAAAAAACAACAAATAACATCATCCTTGGAATAAAATAATGGAAAATTAAAACACAGGGTGTTGCAAAAAGAAAACAACATCTTTTCCAAGGAAAATGCAAAATTAAATGAGGAGAACAACCAAATAACATCATATTTGGAGTAAAATAATGGAAAATTAAACTACAGGGTGTTAGAAAAAGAAAACAACATCAATACAAAGGAAAGTGCAAAGTACATAAACAAAATCCACTAAATAACTTCATTTTGGGAATAAAATAAAGGAAAACAAACCTACAGGTTGTTACAAAACAAAAATAACTAAAATATAAAAGAAAACAAGATCTAAAGTAAAACACACTAAATAACTAAAACAATGGATTGACATCAATGAAAACATATACTCATGGTTGTAGCTCCTTATATAATATAAAGAAAATACAAAGTTCAAGTATAAAATACTAAATTATTACCATATTATAACAACATATATCACCGTACGCGCCCGTGAACACTAAACACTGTCGACAGCCGATAAAATATATCACGATTTACCGAATTGAACAAACCGTCGAGATACACGAACCTACCAACCGCCATCGCACACGGACTCGAACAAACTGCAAGCAACTCGGGTGCATGTTCTTTAAAAGTTCTTTATACCCAAATACAGCGCACACAGCGCCCAGTGCAGAAATCAATTCAAGGTTGCCACCAATTATCGAGTTTAAAAGACAGGATTGAATTAATACTTAAATACAAGCGCAGATGCTACAAGTTAGAAAACAATAAAAAGCTTAACATTGGCATATCGACTTTCCACCGTTCTTTCTCTTATCAATTATTTTCGCCACTTTCAATTCCAAAACAAAAGCTATTAATGAAAATATAACACCAGCACAATAGAGATAAAATATGCCTTTAACATGCGCTAACGTCAAAACAGTCGCTTTCGTTTGTGGTAACTTGTTATCAAGATACTCCAATATATCAAAGACTTTGTTTGTCAATAGAAAGATATCCCATTCCCATTTTGTATATAATCCAAATTCCTTACATTTGAGAATAATATCGTTTAAATGCGGTAACAAATGTACATACACGGGTGGTCCAGTGACTTGGATGGTGCCGAATGACTTTTGGTAATAATCTTCCAATCTTTGCACGCTCTTCGCCAAGGGTGTATAGTAACTGTCCAAAAAATTCGACACTAAGTGGAAAAATCAAAAATTATTATTATATGCAAAGTTTTTGCTTGAATTAATGACAAAATGTTACACGTACATTTAATGCTGGTATAATAATGTTGAAATGCATATTTCGAGTACAATGTCTTGGAAAGGCTTGTCCCCTGGAATTGCTTAACGACATTACGGGAAATCAAAATCTTCTGTGTATACTGCAAATAAAAATCATTAATAAACCAAAATTACTAATAAAAAACTAGGTTTATCTACAGTAAAGGTTTGATTTCGCGAGACATCAAGTTGGAGTAGCGTCATAGCTACAGGTAGTTCTGACCGTAACAAATCGTCAACTGTGCGAATGTTATCTTCATATTGTGGAATAATCAACACGCTAACAACGCCCGATGCAAACAAAGCCGTATAAAGTACAATTACAATTAAAAGCATAGCAACCACGCTTCGGGGACGGTTACTCCGAGGAATCTGTGTATCATTCAAACCTTGCATCAAAAACATACCACCGATAGACAATAACCTTGGGCTTCTCGCCTTTCTAAAGATTGCTTTCGCCAGACTAAAATACAACGCACCAAATGCGAGTGATACAAAAATAAATATCCATAAATTGATTTCAAATACTTGAACAAAACGCAGCCAGTGATCGTAAATTCTGTTGAGTACAAATATATTATTTATTAAATAATCCTAGTAACGTTATAAAAAATATAAACTTACTTTGGTTTTGGGACAAAGAAGGAATAATAAACTTCCGTCAACGGATACGATGATGGATAGGAATAAATATTAGGATCTGATACAATCACTTTACCATTTAATAAAGGAGCATAAAGTAATTGAAATCCTTTAACTTCAAAGTCCAAGTTCAAAGATTTCGCAAATACTGCAATTAAATTTTTCTCAGTGCCATAATGAGAGCTATTGATTGTATAATCAAATGGAATGGTGTTAATTTGCGACGGAATGTATACAATATTCATCCCTTCATTTCTTTTCCACCTCTCAAAGAAGTTTCCAACATCATCACCATCATCCGCGAATTTATTAGTGGTAATACACCAACTGTTCAAACGTCTCTCTGAGAGATACGAATTAGTCGAATTTAAATTAGTAAAACCGTCGACGTGAAAAAATCGTCTTGTTTTGAAATAAAAATAGAGTTGAGAAAAATTTGATCCAAAAAATTTGTAATATTAACGGTTTCCATTAATATTATCGCTTTAAAACGATAATTTCCGTTGTGGAGAAAACATCCCTTCAGCCACCAAGAATTTAAATATATATTGTCGGAATAATCATGTAGAATGTAATGAGAACAGCCAGGATAGCAGGCGGTCGGATTCATAACAATAGGATTTGAATTATTAAACAAGGTAGGAAACTGATATTCGGATTCATTGTATGGGAACACCATGATACAATACGCATCTTGAAAATTACGCTGCGTGATAACATTGAGGAGTAAGTTTAGTGCAATTTGCACACTTGAGTCGTTGCCGAACATTTTATGTGAACTGCACAAAAGTTGTGTCAAAAGTTACAACAAATTATATTTACTGCAATCAAATAAATAGCTAATGAAGTTAGTTAGCAAATTGTTTGCAGTGACCATAGCAACAAACTAAAAACATATTTATTTGTTGATATAACAAAGGTAGGTTGAAACACTAATTCTAGCATAAAATACTTGCTTCAAATTGATATCATTTCAAATATAATTACCAAAATGACACAAATGTGTTTGTTCTGCAATATAAAACCAAATTTTATTCATTGAAATTAACTGGCTTATACAGCTATACCATAAAAATGAAATAAAATACAATCCTTAAATGTTAGTTACATATAATCATAGTGCCACCAGCTTATTTCTGTGCAGCAAGTGGATTTCTCACAATCAAAATAACTGAATCACCTCTCAAAAACATCTTTGAAATAAACCTATCTTTGTTAACTGGCTTAGACTTCTTTTTGCCCTTGCCTGCCCTGGGATACTCTGTCCAAATCTCCTTCACATTTTCCAACACCATGTTGCAATGCCTATCGAAAGCTTTCACTCGACCCAACAATTTCTTATTGTTTCTACAGTTGATGAGCACTTGTGTATTATTGCGCACCGACATGGTCAGCACAGAGAGTGGACCAGTATTAAATTCCTCTTCTTCACGTTGCTGCAGCTCTTCTGCAGTCATTTCTGATTTAGGTTTTGCAACAGCCCTGGAATTATGTTATTAAACAGTAGTTTTAAACCCCAAGAGGAGAAGAAATTACGCTATTTTCTAAATAAAACACTTACATATTGGATAGTTGTTTAAGTAAATGTAATAACCAGCAGTGTGGACGACTCGAATTTATAAAGATTTGTAGATAAAAGTGTAAGAAACGTTGATACAAAAATGCGCCGGTTTGTTTGGTTAAATGCGCTTCCAAACGTTCACGAGCGTGTTGTTTGATGGTGTGTGTATTGAGCGGGCACGAGAAAAGCAATGAAACGATACATGCAGCGCCATCTATTGGTTATCAAATCACTCTCTTGTCTTATATACTGGCAGCTATATAATACCAATATAGTATAGATCAGGGCTGGCCAATCCCAGGCCCGCGGGCCACGAGGTGGCCCGCCAGGACATTTGAATTTGCCCGCCGCACAAACCAAAGTTGGAACTTTTGTATATGTATAATATTTTATGTATGAATGGCCATAGTCTGTGGCCCGGTGCTGCCGCATTCTAAAAAAATTGGCCCTCCAGGAAAATCCATTGGCCAGCCTTGATATAGATTGTATAGAATAATGCAATATAATATAAATTTAAATTTTTGCGACATTCGATGTATGTCATGTTTTTTTCGTGCGTGCAGCCGGCATTCATCGATATATAAGATCACGTCAAAAATCTTGCTTGAACAAATTTTTTGTTAATAGCAATTTTCTTCAGTGAACAAAAAACGCGATTTTAGCGCTTAAACTGTAATTAATGTTAACGGATATTAAATTGTGAAACAATTGATGCTTCATTATTATTAAATTACTTAATATCATAATATTATTATTATCGTGTCCAGCGAAGAGAATCGCATAAAACTGTAAACTGACGAAACTTGGCGTTAAACAAAACAGTAACATATTGTACGCATTAATACCAAGAATGTGGAATATTTGCCTGTACATGCACAACGCTCTTTGTCTATTCGCTTGCATTCAGTCACGCGTTCAGCGTTACAGTTATTCGATGTATGTTTGCCATTTCCCATTTGCAATGATAATAGTTAAACACACGTTACATCGTATACCAGCGTAAAAAAAGCTACAAGTTGATTTTAGCGCCAAAATAAACAATGAAATGAATTTTGCTTATCAACAAACAAGTCCGACATTAAGAAACGATTACAATTTAGGTATCTACATAATAAAATGAAAACTTTAAAGTCAATTGGAGTCAAGTAATGATGATTATTGATGATAAAAGTTGAAATATTTATAAAACATTACGATTTTTTCGATTTAGACGTTCAAAGTCGCTTGGAACAAAGTGTATACAGTGTAAAATGGTAGGAAGGTAAGTAGTGCGCACGCAGCACAGGTAAAATTCAGGTAAAACCGTTCGTACCTACGCCGGCGTGACTAAAAAACAAAAAATACGGTGGCCCCGCTTCCAACTTAAGTCAACTTAAGTTCAGTCTCCAATGAGACGCGCGCGCGTGCGTGTGTACCGTGTGTGACCTCAAGAGTTGGCGAGATGAATCAAGCCAATTGTGTCGCGCTTACGTGATGCAGTCGCGCTGCAAATTAAAGTTAATTCATTAGATATAACGCGCGACAGCGACAATATGGGTGTGACTTAAAACCATTTCTCCAGACTTGAAAATAAAGAAGAAAATGCCCGAAGAAACACTCGCTGAAGAAGTGGACGCCGGCAGTAGTATAGCGTCGGTAATTCTGCATCCATTTGTTAAGTGCATATCTTTGCTCAATTTCGGCTATGCGATACACCCAACGGAACCGATTCATCTTGCAAACAGTGAGTTCATCACCGTTCAAGATGGTTACAAGATTAGAATATTACACCTGCAACCTGACGATGGCTGCGGGGACTTAGAAGAAATTAAACGTGGATTCGAACGCAGTAGTTCTGTAAGAAAATCCATTGAGAAGCGGCTGAGCATGCGAAATAGTATGACAGAAGAATACTGGTTCACCAGGTGGAATAAACCCTTACAAGCTGGTAATAGATGCAGTTGCTCATTCCGACGCTCTCAGAGGTATTCGAAGTTAACTGAAGAAGCACCGAAAGCAATCGGAAACAACGTATTAGAATCTCCGCCAACGAAAATAAAAAATTTGGAGACTTTCGTTGAGAGACTGCTGCAGGAAACTCTGTTAGAAGCATACCAAGAGTTGTACATTACCAACTCGAAAACTGCTGTTGAAGCAAAGACTGATGCGCCAAAAGAAACCCAAGAATATAATTATGATAACTTAGGATATGTACAATCTCCCGACGAAATCGACGCGGCTCCTGTGGTGATAAAAAGAAGAAAAGACAAACCGGTGACAAAGCAGATAAAGAAGACAACGCCCGCTGTGAATACGCTATGCCGTCACAACAAGCCAAAAATTAATGTAAATATATCCAATTTTCATAATAAAAAAACATCGTATTTTAAATTCATTCAAATGATTTGTGAATTTTAGAAACCATTTGTATTCTTACTACATGGAATTGGAAGTACAGCAGACGTTTGGTGGAATATTATCGCGAGTTTGTTAACAAAAGGATATGAAATTGCCGCCCCTGAAATGTTAGGGCATGGCTATAGCGCAGCACCTGATAAACGAAAAGCTTATAAATTTAATAAACTATTGGAACACGCGCTTGCTGCGTTTGATCATTATGCATCGCGCGACGAAAACCGAAAGTTTATTGTCATAGGACATTCCTTTGGGTGAGATAAGCAAAATTATATAATTAAACATTAATTACGTTAAACTAGTGATAAGAATAAATTCATGTTTGGTTTGTTACAGATGTAGTTTAGCAACAGCAATAGCCCGCTACAGATCAACGCAAGTCGTTCAACTCGTGTTAATCAGCGGCGGCGGTCCGACGGCACTGTCTCCACCGGAGATCGGCAACGAGATCTCAGTCTTCAGTAATCTACAGGTGCTAATTAGCCCGCTGCTCTTTTGCGGCATGAAAAGGTAATATAATCGCAACAACTTTCACACGCAGTGCATTTTACACGCAATATGTGCACATCTCATCAATAAATTAAAATAAAAACAAGTAAGCGATAAATATCTAGGCCGCGAAACGGAAAGTGCGAAAGTAATTGCTAATTTGTAATGCAGGCGGTAATTATTTCAACATTTCCGCAATTACTGCAAGTCATCAATATGACTATCAATAACACAATTTGTACTCGAATGAATGAATCATTTAAATTAAATTTTTTGTTTAATTTGTAGGAGTTTATTTTATGCTACGCGCGGAAAACACTTCCAAAGGTGTGACACGGATGAGTCAATACCAAAATACGTTCTTGAATACATCGACCGCGAACAGCATTGGCCCGAAGGCGACGCTGCATTTCACCGACGGATTCTTATCCCGACTCTACTCGTACACGGCTTGAAAGATACCAATGTCACCTTGGTGCAAGAGTGTGAAATGGAACGGGTAAATAATAACGCATTTCTATGCATAGAATATGAATATTACTTACATTTGATGATTTGTAGACGATTCCTCGAGCGTTTCTTGAATTAATCCCAACCGCAGGACACATGTCTTTGCTGGAAACTCCGGAACAACTGAGCCACATGATTTTATGCTTCGTAGAATGGTGGGCACGATAAATCAAACTTGTTTACAATCACTAAAACGCAGTACAAAACAAACACCGTCCAATATTTATGATTTAAATAAAGAATTCTACTGATTTAACTTTTTGGTAAAGTTGATGGAAATGTCATTCAATTATGTATTAAATCGTATTCACATAATGACTGATTAAATTATTATTAAATATTTTAATGTGCGTGTTATTGTTGCACTTTATTGAGGGATTTTCAGGGATTTCTGCCATTCTTTAAATATCATTTGTTTTAATTGGGAAAGGCGTAAAGAGGGATGTTCGAGCTTCAATTCGGCGAGGCGACGTTCTTCGTAGGCAGTGTACGCTGCTTTCATTCTTTTCTCTGGGTGTTTATCACTGCCATCATCTTTCACACTGAAAAAATATGTTAATAATTCATTCTTAAATTGAAATAAATAAATTGAGTATTACCCTAAGATTGCAATGGCTTCCGTAACACTCCTAGCTTCTTCTCCTTCAACAACCATTCTGTTGATGTTTTCTTCCACAGGTTTATCCAGATGTGTCTCAACGACTTTCTTTTCCACTGGTTTATTATTTGTATTTTGGGCACTTCTTGATTCAATCTGTGCCCTGGTCACTTTAGCTGGAGGAGGTGGTTTGGTTGTCTTTTTAATTGAGTTCATCTCCTGTTCAAGAAGCGCTTTCGCTTCCGCTTTCTTCTGGAGTTGTTCCAGGCGTTTTTTTCTTGGTCATCCTAAACAATTATTCACTTTTGTTGGTTTGCAATAATTTAAAACGATTTAAACACCAAGCAACACAGTAAATATTTAAAACTACACGCACAACGACCGTACCGATATTATAAAACTTATAATTTAACGTGTTGTATACGATATTATTTTGAACACGTTTTATCTTGAACTATTCACGCCGAGGTTTGTTTGTTTACTAGTTTATCTCTTAATTTTTTTGTGCGTGCATCGCGTGATTTCGCATCTTTACCTGCAAGAACGTGCGCACTCACTGACACACACACAAACCATGCTCACACAGACGCTCGCTTAGAATTTAACGCAAATAAGTGCATCCTAGCGCCATCACGGGACAAATTCTGAAGTTATTACACTACTTCTTTTCTATTCAGAATTTAAACAATAGTATCAACCAAATTTTCTATTCCTACGTTACTTTTATAAATAAACTATAAATCGTCCTACCTTTTTCTGCTGCTTTTTCATCAAATTCTTATCATCATCTCTCCATTTGGCATCTTCTTCCGCCTGTGATTTCTTGCTCTTTTCCGCTTCTTTTGTAGCTTCCTTCCTACTGCGAGCGGCAACTGCCTTACTGTTTTCTCCGGCAAATTTTTTCGGCATCTCGAGCTGGTAATGCAATATAAATAAAATAAAAATCAATTTTAACCTATGAAATTCATCACAAATGCTATCTGATGTACTAGCATGCAAAAATCATTCTCTTTAAGTTTAAATAAATTTAAAATAAATCTAAATCACACCCAGGGCAGTTCCAGAAGTTTTCTTAACAATATTGTTACAATGTCCAAACAGAAAAGCAAATCAAAGAATAAAACAGCTGAGAATGTTACAAAGATTGCAGAGGTATGTTATTATGGCTCATATCTTTTAATTTGCTAAATAGATTATAGTATTAGTTAGCTACCACAAAATATAATAAATTATAGACCAACTTACATTTTTCTAAGTCCAATTTATTGAGAATTTATGATGATCTTTGAATAACTAAAAACCAACCTCTAAATGTGCGTCTTTTCCTTGTCATCTACAAGGCGCGACTACTCTACAAACATAAACATAAGATTATTGCTTGTTTATAGACATTCAGAAACTACTTTTACAATTGATTCAGTAATATTTTCATCACATTTAATTTAAAATATATATTTATTAAATGTCATCATACTTGTCAGGTCCACTTAATTAATATTTAAAATATTTTACTAGTTATCACCAAAAGATACCGCGATAACACTGGATAAATCAAAAAATATCTTAATCAATATCCTGGCTAAGCCAGGTGCAAAGCAGAATGCAATCACAGGTAATTTATTCCAGATAAATTAATTTTTTCGCGTGTGTAATTAAAATTTATTTCTTGATCTAAATTTAGATATCTCTGAGGAAGGCGTTGGAATTCAAATAAATGCTCCGCCAACCGAAGGTGAAGCAAACACAGAACTTGTGAAATATATTTCAAGCCTTGTCGGAGTTCGGAAGGGTGATGTCTCCCTGGAGCGGGTAAGCAGACAGGAATTACAAAACTTTTAAAATTTATACGTGCACATGGTTTGCAGGGATTTAAATCACGCCAGAAAACTGTAAAAGTCCTTGCGGATACTATTACAATAGAACAAGTCAAAGCAAAAATTTATAACGAAATTAAATAATAAATATATTTTCTTGAGAGTATTTGATTTTATTGTGTTTAGTTTTGTGCGTATGGAGATTCCGCATTGGTTTCATAATAGAAATCACCTGTGGCGTCAAAATCTATGTTTATTCCGCCGTAAATTGATACCTGGTTGTTATCACATCCGCCATTCTTAAATTCCTCATACGAATCACATTTAAGACTTCTAAATGCACGAGAGTTGATAGATTCCGCAAATAATTCAACGGAGCGAGTATGCGCGCAATATCCGAAAGGATCTACACCACAACCCGGTTGCCTTTGTCCACCTCCATTCGCCCAGTAGTCAGCATGTCCCAAGGAACTCAAATAGCCCAAGAAACCTGCGTTCGTATGCAAAATATGCACAACTTTGGCATCGCTGATGTCTAAACGCTTGCTGGGTTCATCCAAATAAAATAAGGGATGCGCAGGGTCCAAACCCATAATAATTCCGGGTTTGTTTTTCATTGCGGCGCCAGTTGCCCCGATTACATGCGCACCCAGACTATTACCTACCAACATGATAAGAGAAGAATCCATATTGTTGGTTTCCAATAACTTATCTATGAATCCACCAAGGACGCGTCCAATATCCGGGACAACTTGGCGTGCGACAGTATAAAACTCATGAGCGGGACGGTTCCAATCCACAACGAAAACATTTACCTCGTCTTTGACTAAAAGTGCAGTGTAAATCGTGCGGCAGGAATAAGAAGTGTTGAAACCGGTCCAGCCATGAGTGACAAAGACTGTTTTACGCGTGGGATCAAAATCAGGATGGTTAACTTGACCGTCAAAGTCATGCGCGCTAAATTTGTGTCCGATTGTTGGTTCTGCAGCGCTGTGGAAGTAAACAGTAATGTCTTCAGGAACTAATTCGAAGTCTACGTCTCTATGCTGAAGATCCACAAGGCGCGGGAAGCCATTGTCATCGGGGACGAGAACAAAACGTTGATTATCGTAGCGATGATCATCTTCCGGAAAGTATCTTCTTTCTATACAGGAAATAAGCAATCAATTTATGTAAAAATGAAAGTTTTGTAATAATTACCTGATGCAACGCAAGCGCAAACACATGCTACTAAAACAATCAAAACTCTCATATTTAAATCTAATTTATGAGCACACAATTTATTTCAATCGCGATTTAAAGTGATCAGAATCATCCGATGCTCTTTATTTTATATCCTTAATTACAAAAAATAGGAATCGTACGATCATTTAATCAAGTAATCACTTTTATCAACATTTTCCTGTCGCGTATGGCGATTTGGCATTGGTGTCGAAATAAAATGAACCTTGCGCACTAAAAAACGGAATTTAAAAATATGGCGGATATCCGTATTAAGTGTTTATACTTAAAACTAAATCGCCACTTACGTCTTGTCCAGTGATATCGTCCCGAAATATGATACGCTGTTATCATCGCATTTGCCATTTTTATACTCCTCATAACTCGAACAATTCCTACCACAAAATCCACCTGTTTTCAAGGATTCTCGAAAAATAGCTGTCGCTCGAGCATGCGCACAGGAACCAAACAAATCAGATCCGCACCCTGGTTGACTCATACCTCCGCCATTAGGGTAAAAATCAGCATGACCTATAGACTTCATCATACCCTGGAAACCACCATTCGTATGCAAAATCTGCACATACTGCGCATCAGTAGAATCCAGGCGATTTTCAGGCGCTTCATTCTGGAATAATGGAGCTGCCGGGTCCAGTCCTATTATATAATTAGCTTTTCCTTTTAGGTGTGCTCCAATACCGCCAACAACGTGCGAACCTAAACTGTGCCCAATCAATTTGATATTATCATAAGGGATATTGTTAATAACCATGTATTTGTCCACTGCCTCGCCCATAATAGCGGTCAATTTCGGCACGCACGTCACCACTATGGTGTAAAACATCGCTGCGTGTTTACTCCAATCCACAAGGAAAACATTAGCGTCTTCCAGATCAAGAATTAAATTCTTAAAACTTATCATACCACTGTATGAGTCGCCACTCCCGTGGGAAATAAAATAACTTGGTAGTGTAGGATCCAAGATGGTGGACACATTGCCATCAAACTCTTCTAGATTAATAACGGTCGGATTGTCTCTAATCTGTTGATTGTAGTAGTAAAATTTGACATCGGAGAGAGAAACGTCCACGTCCAGTAAACTACTAATCCTGTTCCAGAATCCACCGCTTCCACGCTTAGCACGAGGATTAGGCGCTGAACAAAAAATCGCTAAGAAAAAAATATGCTCCTTACTGTGATGAAAATAATTTTGGACAAATACTTACAGATGGCCAGCAAGAAAAAGAGCACGCAATGTTTGGTGTTTAAGGCACTCATCGTTCAACTGATGATTTCAGATTAAAGTAGTCTGAACTCTGAGGATCAACCGGTTTCGCTTCGCTTTTGTTTCGTGAGGCAATATTTACCGATCAGTTTCTCAATAACTGTTAATATGTATTTTTGCGTGCCGGCGCAATACTATAACTGATTTAATGTTTATGTTATAGACACCCACCGTTGTCGCGTGACTTTACTAATTTCTTATCATTTATTCATGCAATTGCATCTATTTCTATACTCTAATCAAGTACTTAAATATTGTTACTTAAGTTTTAATCCTCTTAAAATAAAATATGTGATAAAGCATAAGATAAGTAAGTGATATCACGCAATTGCAGATCAAATTAATTAACTAAAAATGTTTTCAAGCATACAGATCTTACTTGTTTTTAGATTCCATGTATATTTATTATTTAAAATTAATTTTCTTCTTGAAATATGTATCTGAATATTAGAAATACTCTTATAATTAATAAAATTTTAATTACAAAGGTTTGCTCGCTGTGATTCGCTTGTTATCCGACGCTCCACGTATTGAAAATAGCTAATAGATTTCATTGTTTTTTTTTTAATGTTTTTCATCTTTAAATTGTTTAGTCATCTTGCCCAGAGAAAATTTCATTGCTTCCATCCAACCCGTGATGACGATCAATCAGCGATCGTCTTCTTTTAAGTAAACACGCTAACAACAATCCAGCGAACGAACGACGAAGCGAACTTAATTACATTTCATCTCGAACCAGTTGGTTCATCTACAGAATAACTTGCTACTCGTGTTGCTCGCCGCATCATGATCGATTGGTAGGTTGTGTTTTACAATATAACGCTTCGTTAATTCATACATCATATAACATTACAACTAAGTATTTTATCATTTAAAGAATTAATTAAGAAAGAACTCTTTTATCAACAGAAAAACGAACGCTTACTCTCCTTACGAACTACCGACGATATATTCTTGAACGTGAAGTCGCTGAAAGTGCAAGAGCGTGCGCACGCGCGACTCATGAACACCGAACGAATGATTAGAATGGTTAAGACCGACTCAATTTCGCATCCCTCAACGAAAATTCACTCAACTTCATGATTGCGTTTGACTATAATGCTAATGATACAATGGCGGTGAATGGTGGACTGCGGTTTTGGTTTTGTTCATGGTTTATATGAGTGAGCGCGTAAACGATTCGGTGGCGGTAGTGGTGATGTGTCGGATAAAGGGGGTTGGCGATGGGGGGTGGTTGTTTGAAGGACCGCGCGCGCGGTGCGCGGTGTCGTGTTACGACGCGATCGCGATGGCGCACCACCGACGTTATAACTCCATGTCCTCGGCCTCGTTCTCGGAGAAGTCCGACATGCTCGATTCGCTATCGGAGCTCACATTGGTCTCCTGCCCGCGGAGAGCTTCCTCTGTCGCAAATCGACGTACATATTCTATAAGAACACAAATTGTACAGCTTATCACCGAGTTAAAAGCAAACAAATTACCTGAAACTTTCTTCTTGTATTCTTCCGGTTTATGAAGATACATTGACGCCGCATCACCGTTGAGTGGATCAATCGGATTCGGATAGGTGAGCAGCTGTGGCAGAAACGATTCGAAAATATTCGACAGATCTGCAACCAAATAACATGAAAAACCTCATGTTCCTGACCTTGTGTCTAAACAAACATACAAAACACGTATCGACCATTATTTTCAAACAATTATTTAAGAGATATTATTGTAGTATAAATTACCACTTACCATATAAGGCGGTCCACGCCTGATTAATCACATCCAGGCACACGGTGCCGGATACTTCGTCGATGTTGGGATGATAAACGCGGTTCATGAACCCTATGCTAGGCGATTTGAAAGGATAATGCTCCGGCAGGTGGACACGCACCTTCCAGACACCTCCTTCATATGGTGCTTTAATAAAAAACGAACAATACACATAATTAGTACAACATATAAAAGAAATCTGCTATTTTTTTAAATAGTTTCAACCAACTTACTTCCACGTGGACCGTAAAACTTAACACAAAAATCATTCAGTCCACCGAGGATTGTTACTTCGTGTTTACTTTCAATTCTACGAGGCATTCATTAAGGATCTTTACCGTTTTACACACACAGTATTTATGTAATCAACAATTCAAGCAATTAAATCCTCTACGCTTGAAAGTAAAATGTATTCAGGTGTGTGTGTAAGCATGCAAACATAGAATAATGAACTATCAAACTAAGTATGAAGCAAAACATAATTTCTTTTCAACCAGAATTGAGTGATGATAGACTTACTTCCTTTGGGACCATAGAACTTAACGCAAAACTCATGGAGACCACCGAGTAATGTGACTTCATGCTTGCTCTCAATGCTAAAAGTGATGTAATTAAGGAAAAAAATAAACAAAGACAAAGAAAATCAAACAAAACATCTGCCGCACACAAGAAGCAATCAAACAATCCGGAATAATGGCGATGACAACAGCACACACATGATTATGATAATGAAAAGTATGATTTTAGTAACAAGTGATTAATAATTAAAGTTTAAAGCAAGAAAATATCAAATTACTGACACATTACGCTGCAATAACATTCCTTGCTTTGAATTTCATCTTTATCTCTCTGTAATTTAATATGAAACAAATTTAAATTATAATTAACTCATATTACATTTAATTCAGATAACTCCAAAATGCAACAAGATAATTTCTGCAAATAAATAAAATCAATTCCTGCAGGAATTATTATTGCAGCGTTTCGATAATCGAAAAATTAATTAATAACTCTGTATATGGCACACAGTGATTGTCTGGCTTCTACGCTATTGTTTGTTTTTGTCAAGCCTGCTGATTGCATGTAGGTAAAACTGTTAAGACTATAATGCACTGTGTGAATTTAGGGCAGCGTTCTCGGTTGTCACGCTTCGCTGCCACAGCGAGAGACGCTCACGATGCTGCGATAGAAAGTGCGGTAGAGGCCAGCAGGCATCAGCTGATAGCCGAGCGCAGGAACTGGGATGTGGAACAACGCAACAAACGCATTCAACACGCACCAGCAGGCCTGCAGCGCGCTCTCTTTGTGTTTATGCGTGTGTATGTATATGTGGTGTGCGTGTTGTTTACAATCCTTCATTGCGTGTAAACTAAATGTAAATCGTATTTCAGTCTGGCAGAAATATGTCAGATGTGCAGTTTAGTAGTGACTTTTTGACACAAAGAGAAAAAGGATACAGTTTTATGACGTCCGTGTCCATGCGTCGCTTGCCAGCGCTGGGCGACGACATCGCGACTCCTCGGCGGGGCTTATCTCGCGATGCGCACGCGAACAACGATTGACTGCAACGACGACGACGGCGACGACGTCGACGGAGCTCGGTGTCGCTGTCACGCCACCGTCATCCAAGCGACGCAGCAGCGCGACCGTGTGCGTGAATGCGAATGCACCTACGGGCAAACGTTTAATCGCGAGCACGCTCGATTATCGCGACGCAATCACACGAATCACAACAATCGACTGGGAAAACAACAAACTTTGCTTCGTAGAGTGCAACTGTGAACGCACAATGGCCGTGCGTGAATTTTAGACTGTGATCGCGTTCAGCTGTTTGGCACTGTGCGAGGGCGAATGCAATCGAACAACTGACTCAAGAAAACACTTGCATTCGAGTGCGTTCGACTCGAGCCCGACTGGCAGACTGCGCGCAGCGCGCTGCTTCAACTCCTGCGGGCCAATCAGCTGGCGCTGGATTTCTACTGCGCCAGCGCAGTTACGACGTAAATGCAACTCGATTTCAAAACAAAAAGGAAATTTTCGATCGTCCGTCGTTCAATATGTAAGTATCACAAATGTTTGAACAACATAATAGCAAATAAAGTCGTGACTGTGCTGTTGTCAATAATCACAATCATCTGTAGACGATTGATTTGAATTGTTTACGAAACAAATGCGCATAAATCAAACAAACAAAGGCGGACATGTTGTAAATTCGCAAAACACGAAATACGAGCACTAAAAATGCGTACAACATTAAAATTCCAAAAGCAAGCGGTTAAATACTAACTATTTATACATTTTGTAGTGGTTATTGCCCCGAATGAGAAAAGTATGCAGCATATGCAACGTTTACAAAGATCGCAGACGAATTACACCGCACGTCCGCAACACACCGTACACAAATGTCTTTTTCATTTTATTTCATTGGTTCTCGTCTGTGCACGTTCGTAGGGAATTATTGAACCCTGGAACCCTTCGCCTGCATGCAGCGTGTCGTTTACCCTCGCACGAGGTCGAGGTCCTCCACCAGACTGAAATATTAACATGCGGCGACGCAAAAACGCGACTGCCACTCACACCACCTCCACCTCCAACCATCGTGGTGTCTTTGCACCCTTTTCACACTCACCCTCGTCTGGCATGTATTCATACAACTGCGCATATTGCTCATGAGTGGTGTGTTTTTTATTAAATAGAATTGACTAGCGACATTCACACAATTGAACTAATAAACGCACTTCTCTTTACGCTTCGCTACTCATGAATCATGATAACACAGAAAGAAATTAATGTAACTTCGTCAATTATATGAATTAAGGAATTAAATAAATGTTGATTAGTTAAGATCACTAGTCGCGCGCATTATTTGCTCGGCTAGGTGGGTCTGGTTGGGCGTAGGCGCCGAATTCAGTACGTATTCAGATGTGGTGATGTAAAGGCCGACCAGAAGGCCAATTGCGCTTGCCAAAACCATACTACGCTGGAAAATGATGCAAGTTGCGATGCATAAACCGGCGTAGGTGGCGTAACGTGTGAAGAGCACATAGTTTTGTCGACTTTCTTGAGCTGAATCTGTTTTTACAACAAAATACAACATTTTTGAAGAAAAAGAATAATTTTTTAGATATACACACAATGAATTTGGGTACAGTTAATAAATTTTGTAAAAAAATAGTGCATGTAGTTCATAATAAAGAAATAAAAGAATTTTGTGCATTGATAAATTGTATTACTGTATTAAAGTTCTAATTTGTCTGTATACTCACCAACGCACATATTTTCCCTGAGAACATAGCCACTAGCGCACCTGATGCACATATCTGGTCCATCTCCCGTGCATCCTGCGCACGATCTATCACAGTCCAAGCATTTGTACGACCCGTCGGAATTCACGCAGAACTGCAGCGGACTGCAGGGAGATTTCGGCGCCGCACATTCATTTAAATCCAAACAGCCTTTTTCTTTGTCAGAAATCCATCCATGTGCACATTTTAAACATCCTAGACAAATATTTATACAAAATTCAAACAAAAAACATTTAAAAATCAATTTTTACCTGTGGGTCCTGCTTTAGTACAACTTCCCTCACAGCTAGCATGACACTGTGCACACAACAACTTCTTTTCATCCTTGTATGCCTCAAAATACTTCTCTGCACAGGTCTCACACCTTAATCCTGCATATCCTTGATCACAAGCACATTGACCATTGCCTTTTCTTGTGCCTGCACCTTTACACTTTCCATTATTACTGCAGATATCATCTGGGAAGCCATCACAAGCTGTGCAATTCACACCAAAATGCTGCTCAGGACAACAATGCTTCACAAAGTCAATACAAAAGTACTGAAATAGATCAGGATGGTCATCCTGCTTGTGAAACCACCAGTCTTCTATATCAGTGTCATGCTGTTCATTCATAGCATAACATTGTGCTTGTCCCTCAACAACATCCTCACAGACTTTTTCTTGTATCTCAACAAGTCGCACTTCGCTTTTTGCATATGTGCGCAGTTTTTCTTCCTCCCAGGCGGCGTCACCTCCTTCAAATTTACTGTTTTCAGTTTTTTTCATCCCCTGAAATAAATAATTACTATTAATATTCGGTAATTATTGATGGAATATATTAATTACAGCTTTGAATGAGTCTACATATAATCGGCAGGCACGACATGGTGGCAGCTTGGTTTGTTTTAACAAATCTTTTTTACTCGTCGCTAAATTCGAGGCTGCGACCATGCAGGTTAGAGTTTGTAGCACCGCAGTAACGTAAAGTATTGAATAAAAACTGGGGAGAACCATGTTGCGTGTAAGATATTTTTAGAAAGAATTGCACTACACTTATATTCTACGGTATTACACGGTAATATGCGATTCGTTGGGATTACGTGTATGTTTTTAACTCGTTATTTGGACGAAGTTTTCGCGACTTAGGTAGAACTTGTCATATGGAGTTAGTACACTTGTCGCGTGTATATTGGGTTGCCTATATTAAAGTTAGAATATGTGCAGAAATAAATTCCTGCAACAAAAGTCACAAAACTACAAAGAGGACACAAAAATCACGGTTTGTAAGTTTACCGTTTGTTTTCAGCTGTAAAAGTACCCATGAACTTCTAAAAATAATTCTTTTATATGCGTTGTAGCAGACGTTATTATCGTTTTGGTAATAAAATCCATAAACTTGTATTTTCAAGGAAAAACGTTTCATTATTGATGTTTTTAAATGACATTGAGCATTATTACACTTAGTCAAGGCATGTTTTCCATTGAATTTCCCAAGAATGTCCCTTGCGTCATACCAGAGCGTGATACACAGCTGATCACAAAGAAAATCGATACTTTTGCTACTGCGCGCTTCTGTAACAATCGCAGGAAGCCTCCATTTCGCGATTATGCGAATCAAATGCACACAGCCAGCAATCCAACCGCAAGACCCACTGCATTACAAATTCAAGATTGAAAACGTCGCGACGACCGAAAACAATCGTACGTACTTTCAATTAATACACATTTATTGTTTTAATTAAAGTGTTCAACGACAGACAGAGTTCAAGAGTTCAGAAATCATTGAAAACTCTAAAATTACAAAGAGAAAGCAAGATAGTGAGATGTGAGACAATATCATGGCAATAACACATGTTGCAACATTGATTTACAATTGAATTAGATCGTTGATAATGCACAAAGTGCAGTTGAAAGATGGTTTCGAGTGTATTTGGCTTGTTTATCGCACGCACTGGCGAGCTGCACACCGAACATGCGTCAATCTTTGTTCAAACATTGACAATTAGTTATAAATAGCAATTGGGAATAGATAAAAGTGATTTCCTCGTGGTGTTTTTATGCGGCAGCACGTACACACGACCATACCGATGTTAACTAGTGTAAATTATGAAACAACATCGAAATAAACTATTTAATTTTAATATTAATCTATTGCATATTATGTGAAAATACTTCACATTTTGTAAATTATCGCCCAAAATCGATTGTTTTAAGAGATAAATTTAATATTTTAACCAGGAATTTGTGAAAATAATTTTTTAATGTATTTTTATTCAGCGCGATGGTGTGATGCGGTGTAATCACAACGCAAACAATTGATATTTAATTAGTTCACGCTCGCGTATCATGCGCGTGTGCGCGGTGCACCGGTGCTCATTATTTCTACAAGTGTCTACTTTATTTCATGCAAAACTTCCGAGAAACTGCGTGAACCTTTTGGCACGCGCGCGATTTTCCGATATTTATAGACTTACACGAGGAAACCGGGTGTTCATCACGTGGCATCGTGGAATATCGAGTAAACAAAGAAATAAAGAAAAGAAAATGAAATTATTGTACTAACTGCGTAAAAATGCACTTTCAAAGTAAATTTTAAGGTTAAATCAATGAAAATGCACGTTAGACATGTTTAAATGTATAAAAATGCATAAAAGTCTTATTTTACGTATATAAATAATAAAATATTACTATTTATATATAATTGTTGGAGAAATAAGTTAATATAAGTTAACTGCGCATTGATCAACTTCGAGACGCATTAAATCGGACATTAAAATGTTAAACGAGTAGTTAAAACAAAATACAAACAACAAATTATTTAATGCAGAGATTGCACAAGTTGTCTGTGTGTCAACAACTAGAAAAACAAAGGAATGACACACGAATTTAACATTCTAGCGATATACTCGTAAAGTTAATTTTAAGTAAATTAACTTAACTAATTTAAATTCTTTGGAAACTTTTCGGGAAATATTAATAATTGATTTTAAAAAGTTAGAAAATGACTTAATTTACTTAGAAACAAAGAAAACTCATCAAAAAACAGATTAAGGGATTAAATTTCTTCTTTTTTGTTGAAAATATATTTTTAGGAAAGAAATAAAAGTAAAGTTATAGCAAATTTGAACTCAAAATGAAATTTACAACTAACCTAACTGTAAAACTATAAATTCTTATCAAAATAAGTAAAATAACCTTAAATCAGGCTAAGTATGCCTAAACTAACCTAAAAATACCATAAAATAACCTAAAAGTACTAAAATTTAACCTAAAAGTTAAATTTAAAGTAAAATTTAAAATTTTTACACTTGGTATGATAAAATAAGACACACCCCGCGCCTTCCTTCAGTCAGGCATGCAGTTACCAAGCAAGCTGTATACTCGAATCAGGTCGTTTTGTTTGGATTCGCGATGAGTCGGTCGCGATCACGCTGTCCATGCGTGCTTCCTGCGCCGTGCGTGAGTGTAAACAAAGCGCGGTCGCGCGCCGCCGGGAATAAAACCGCCTGCTGCGGCCAGGGAGCTTTACGTATATTAGGCGTTTTTGTCCGCAGGAGCGACAAGTCGACGACGCGACGCGCTTTCGATCCGACCGCAAACAACTTCCACTCAAACTCGAGAAGAATAAGTTTTACCGTTGCTTTATTTCTACGAATTTTACGAAGAAAAAACAAGCACGAGAAGAAGAAGAAGAAAAAGTTTGTGTGGCGTTTCTATAGACTACATATAATTACACCAAGAGAAGAAAAACAAGTTTTCTTTGTGCGCCGAGTTATCGCCATCGTGTAATCATGTTGCTGCAACCGAATAGTGTACCAAACAGGTGAGTTGCAAACAATTTTCGCGCGAAACAACAAACTTTTTCGCAATGTGTTAAATAAAATTAGCATACTTTGCATATTTCGTGCTTTATATACTCTCGGGAATAAAAGAATAACTTTTCTTTCACAACTTTTCGAAAAACTCACACGCCACCAGCGAAAAACTTAAATTATTAAAGCATTTGCGAGTAGATTGTTCAATTTTCTCATTTTCTAAAAACAACTACCTTCTTTCCGACTAAGTTATTCATGAATTTGGCTCATGTGTTTATTTTGGCACCGCTTACGCCTACACACAAGTTACGCCAAAAATTATTCCTCGTTTTGCGCATAACTCAAATTTCACGCAAGGAAAAAACATTGTCCTTGAAGTTTTGATCTCTTTTCTATTCTAAGCTTTTGTAAACTTTGTCAACTGCGCGTGAAACACAACAAATTGAAAACAATTGAATTAGAAACGCAAAAGCGCTGTTGATTCAACACGCAAAAAACACACTTGTTGATTTATGGTCGTGTTGATGCGAAATTTTCATAAATTTTAAATTAAATTCATTCCAATTGTATAACCCGGTAGAATGCACGTGCTCCAATGTGGGAAATAAGGTGACTCCACTTGGAATTTGATCTCGAGTCACAAACAATCAATTCGAAAGTGTTTCGAGTGTGTACCACTCATCAACACGTTTTGTATAAATTACAACAAATCAGTGTCCTTGCTAGTTATTTATAATTCTTTGGATCACTCAAGATTAATAATTAACTAAAATTAATTGTCCAAGGGTCAAAAAGGGTGTGAAGTTCAAAAACTTCAACAAATATTTTCAAAGTCAAAAAAAAATTGGGTTAACTTCAAGATAAAATCGATTAATAACAAAATAATCATTTTTTAGTACTGATTCACATCGATACTGTCGTCAAGTATCCATTGAATCCCCGGGTACAGAAGCGTCCAACTTTGTCTTCAACTGTGAAGTACCCGTCCCTGACGTGCCTCCCCAGGGCGCGCGGATCAAAGTAGTCTGCGCTGGAGCCTGCTATCGCAACAGGAACCGTCTCCCATCCGCAGGCTCCCAGGCGACTATCCCCGAAGAAGAACCCAGCCAAACTAACTACGGCATTCGTGACAGTGCCCTCTTCCCTGGCTATGAAGTATCTGGGGTAATCGATGAGCTAGGCTCGGAGGTATCCATTGGTAGTGGATGTGGGCTAACAGAAGGACAACGTGTTGTACTCTACCCGCACGATGCAATCCCACACGGTTATTCAGACTATGTAGTCGTGAGTGATCTACAGTTTGTTATCCCTGTACCGGATAATCTACCACTGAGTGTGGCGGCCATGTTGCCAACTGGTGCGTTGTTAGGAAAAAACGCTGTTTTGGCTGCGCATGATAATGTTCTGCGTTTATTGGAGGAAAGACCTGATCAAGACGTGAAGATTTTGGTGGTTGGTACCGGAGGTTTAGCATTGTGGGCGATTAGAATCGCTGCGCATCATTTTGGACATTCTGGACATCGTGATAGAGTTAAAGTCACAGTGGCGTGCATGAGAGATGAAGGATTTGCAGTTGCTAAAAGCATTCACAAGTAATACCTATTTTTACATCTCCTTTGAATAATATACTAACTAAATATAATTTTTTCATTTTAGTGTTAACCTAGTCCAATGGAGTGAAGATTTATATGAGAATCAAATCATTGAACGCACAACAAACGCATGCAATGGTCTCGTAGACATCGTAATTGACTTTGGTACCACTGCACGTACCCTCAACCGGTCACTACAGTGTCTCAACAGGAAAGGAGTAGTATTAGTCAATCAAGAAGTAGCCGAACGTCTTTTACCGCGGTTTTCTCCGATTGCTGAGCAGAAGGAACAAAAAATTCAAGCGGTTGCCAAAGGCGACGTTGAACAACTAAAAGAACTAGTTGAACTTGTTTCCAGCGGAGAGGTAATACCATTTAAACTTAATATTTCTTAAACAAAAGTAATAATTTGATGTGTTTTGTTTATAGATTGTTCCACCACCGCACACAGTCTTCCCAGCAGACCAAGCCTGTTCAGTTGTACAGAAACTAAGCAAATCCGAAATTCCCGGGCGAGCAATTCTAAGATTTCACGATATTGAGTAGAATTTAAATAGTTTCATGTTATGGAATGAATGTAATCGACTGCTAGAGGTTTCTTGCGATTGCGACAAGAAACATTGTGATAATTTTACTGTACATATAACATTTTATATTCATACGAGTACATAAATGTATTGTTAGTTAAATTTAAGTTATATTTATCTAAATAATGAATAAAAAATTAAAATCTTTCAAAATCATATTGTATTGCTCCTGTAATTTGTGTTGCCTATATTACACCCGCAGTAATCCTGCTGTTTTAGATTCTACGTAGTCAGATTAACATAGGCAACCCACAATACTCTATACTACCATCTAAACTTGTTTAAACACTCTAGCAGCTGCTAAAAATAGACTAACTACTTAAATGTCTATTAATAAAACACGAATTAAAGTCACGGCTGCGATTATATAGATTAAAAATACATTATATCAATGCCGCACACTCTGGAGTGCCTCTAATAAAGACTTCAGCTAATCGCGGATTATCGTGTCTGCGTGCAATTAGTTTCCGATAAGTTTAGCAAACGGCGGTTCAAGGTGTTGGCAAACTAAACGAAGGGATGGCAACTATAAACTATAATGAAAGAGTAAACACGCACGAGAAGTTTGCAAACTTTTCGCAGCTTGTTTATTTCGTCTGCGCATCGAATCGCGATTAATTATTCATACAATCCGCAATTCCCAGCGTCGTAAAGCGTAATATTTAATACGGCGACCGCGTGAAGGTAATTTAATGCGCACATACAATTCCTGCAAGGATGTGCTGCTGTGTTATACAAGTTCGCAGCGTTTGTGGTTGTGTAGGGCTCGGAGCAGATCACGAAAAGGCTTCTATTGCTTGTATGGTATCCAAGGGCGTGCGGGGTGTAGCCCGGTTCGCCCCTGGAAGGGCGGACGGAGGTGCGCAGGCCCTTGGGCGCCCAAGAAACAACTCGAGCCGCGCGCACTCGACAAGCTCACACAACTCGGTTGGGCAGCAGGCCAGCAGCCTGTGTGTGCACCGCGACTTCAACGTCACATTCAGACTGTCGCACGCACGCTACTAACCAACCACACAATCGAAATTAAAAACAACATTTCGTCGTGTGCACACACTGTGTGAGCGCTCACCTTGCCGGCGAGGCACCATTCGTGACTACGTGCTCCGCGTGTGTGTGTGTCGTGGTGTTTGAAACGCAAAAACGTGCGGCGTCGAAACCGAAACGATTCCACCAGAGTGTGTCTCTCTGCCCAGGCGAAAACCCAACTGTGTACCTACTGTAGTTCTAGTCGTGGATCGCGTTTCACCGCGCCAGCACCACGGGGACATTAATATAACTACTCAATATCGCAATCATCCATCGTCAATTGCATCCAATTTACGGCAATTAGCGGCGTCGAAAAATCAACCAGCTATAAGCGGATACACGTCAAAGTCTTGGAAAGTTTTTCAAAACGTTTTTCTGTTACCCAAGTGCGAAGGGATGGCGAGGAACACGTGTAATTAACAGTTTTACGTTCTGTGCGTGTTATCAAAGTTCTTCTGTGTGGTAATTGACATCGTAAATGGGAATCATGTGGAGATACAGCTTGCAGTGCGTCCTGCTGCTCTTCGCGGCTGTCTACTGCACGGACTTAACCGTCACCAATGGTAAGTTTCGTTAATTTAATACCACCCCGATTATTATTACTTATTCACTCATTCTGTTGATGCAAACTTTAATAACTAGTAATAAATTAATCTGACTTACATTTTCGTATTGTATTTATTTACCGGTGCACTTGATACACTTGATTACAGTTGATAATGTCGCGTGCATTTTTTCCGATGCACTTTTGCGCGTAATTAACCTACAAGCGCAAACAGCGCGCGTTGTTTGCGCATGTGTTGTGTGTGCAGTGTGCATCACCTGATTTTGTGCGTGCAATCACCGACACACGTCGTAATCGGATGTCTTTTTCTACTTGCGTGCACACACCTGCCGGTTGGAGGCGAGCGTGTGTCGTGTTCTACCGGCGCGCGACTTTCGTTCCTTTCGCACAGTCACTACTACCAACTTAAATTTACGTTTACGGCGGCTGGTGTAGTGCGCTGTAGTTGTCGCTTGTTTCTCTTTTACTCGCGCACACGGCGTACTCTATAGGCGTGTGAATGTGATTCATTTTCGGAGACAGCGAATCGAGCCAGAATCAAGGAGGAAATGTCAGAAATGACATAACTTGCGGCGTGATTAATCATGCACTACGCAAACTCGATCTTCGGAACATTTCAATTTTCGATTTGTAATTACTTCGAATCTAGTGGAGATATTCGGACCGTTCCTTCGGGAGGCGGTTGGGATTGAGTTGGAGATTTTGATAGAGTAGAGGGCGCTGGGGTAACTTACATAACCTAGTGGTAAATGGCTATTGATTGCAAAATTTGATGTTTGTTCAACTTAAAAATGAAATAAATCGAAAACTATTAGAGGTAGAAAAATGATTGATACGTCAATCGATAGAGAATTAAGTAAACAATATGTTAGACTATCAAATATTTGTTTTATGCGTTTAACTTTAATTCAATTTGCTATTTTACACTTTGCGCGGCTTAACTTACTTAAAAACTTGTGTTTTGCGAATTATTTATTATATACGTGTGTATATTAAAATACCCCATCCATTTTGTAAGTTAGTTCACAAATGTTGTAAACTTGTGCTTCCGTTTGGCCCCAGAGTGGAGCGCGCAACTAAAAGCTAAATTTTCCGCTATTGCTCTTCACGCAGCGCTGCAAATTTCTCGTTGAAAATTTGTCGAACCGCCCGAAGTTAAATCGGTAAACATTAAAAGCCACGAGGAGTGCGTTTGGGGTGGAAAATGGAATCGTGCGCAGAGCCGTTTGATTGCCAGAAAACCTTCAGCAGCGCGAACCAACAACTAACAACTAGAAAAGTTTAACAATCGAGAACATGCTGCGGTGGCGGCTGCACCAGCATGGCGCAGAATTTCGATGAGTTATCTAACAGATCGATTGGTTTTATTTTTCATTATTATTATTATTATTCGGAAGCGCCGTGGGAAAGCGGCCGACATGTTGGGGATATGGTGGCGTGATGCATGAATGAGTAAGCAATACTTCGATGACGTTAATAATAAAAGCACATAATCTGAGAGCGACAATGTGCGCCAACACTTGTCTGTTACTTATGGCACTTGCGAGTGGAAATACGTTGAAAATTTAAACAGCTCACGATGAGTTGCAAGTCAACAGGAAAGAAATTTACCTGCCTCAACTTTGAGGGCGTTTTGAAGACGTTTTAGACATTCTTTGGGCTAATGAATGGTCTTATTGGAATCTTTACATCATTTTCTACCAGACTAAACAATTATCTTTAATTATTAAGTAATATTTTGTTTGTTATTTGAATAAAACGTAATTTTTTTTGTTTTTTTTCTTTATCTCTATAATCCAGTTTTGGCCTGATTACGTAACAATGACTGCATTTATGCATTTGATATAATTACAGATTAATTCTCCACTAAATTACCTCTCTAATGACACCTCATTCGACGTTTTACGACTTCTCAGTGCCGAGAAAATTGAGCAACTTACAGAAAAGAAAAAAACGCAGCAAAATTCAATTTCATTTTTAATCCCAAACATTTTTCTTATTTCTGCCCTAGATCCGCATCGTCGTCGTCGTTGGCGAGTTGAATACAACTTCATAAAGTTTTATTTATTTGCTTCCACTTGCGCTGTGAGCTGAGCTTTCACAACAGTCGCGCCAGACGACAGCGCCGAACGTAAGCGCGCTTATCTCTCGCATCTCGTTATCAGATGAAGCGAACAACCTTGTGCACCGCGTGCAAGAAGCGAAATTTGTCGGATTGTCGAGCGACGTGCCAGATATCCGCGCAAATTTAATTTGTTTCGCCCGCGTGTCGTTATAGAAAATTAAGATCGCGATTAAGATGCGGGATAAACCAGCCAGCAGAGACAAAACGACAACTAGACAACGTCGAGAGAAAGAGTAAAAGGAAAACGTGAGTCAGAAACATGGGAAAACCTCTCTCGTTTGCGTCAATAAAGGAACCGTCCCGACATCCGAAAGATAGATATGTGAAAGATATGAAAGCTTTCTGCTCAAGTGCCGTGCTGTACAAGTGTGCATTGGGCGCGGTAATTCATTAAATAAATATTGATACAGAGTTAATGCGTGTGCTTATCGCCGATTAGGCATTTCCGCGTTCGCGCGAGTGAGCGATTGTGAACGTGTGCGCAATTCACTAATGGGTAATTCTGTAATCATTGACGTAAACGCAAAAAAAAAAACGCAAAAAACAGAAAAAAATGTTAAAAAAAACGACTAAAAAAATAATACGTGTATTTTTTGTTATATTTTTGTTAATAAGTACGTAACCTGTGTTGGTATTTTATTTACTTTGATATTATATTAAAGAGTTTTAAAAGACGAATCAAATGATATCATGTTTGATTACTTGCCATTATTTTTAAGCAGTTAAAAAGGCTTCGAAAGTGAAAATTACGTAAAAAAATGTTCGATATTTTTAGTTTTTTGATAATAACTTATTAGTAAATCAATCAAATTTTCCATTCGTAGTATCAACTGAAAGTACTTGTTAAGACAAGTAAAATGATACCATGCATGCCTATCTGCGATTATTTTTAAGCTGTTTAAAAGGCCTTGAAAGTAAAAATTGCGTAAAAGACGTGTTTTTGCCCGATTTTTGACTAGTTTTTTGAGAATAACTTTTTTATAAATCAATCAAATCTTCCATGCATAGTATCAGCTTAAAGTCCTTTTCATAACAAACAAAATGATACCACATTTATTATTCTACCTCATCTGATAGCTGTGTAATAAACCAAAAACCACTTCAAAATTCCCCAATTTTTGCGTTTTGCAAGTTAACCTCCTGGAAACTCTATCACCATCGCGAGGTTATGCAACCGCAACGAGCGCCACCTATCTCATTCCAATCTGTCATTCCGGCTCTATAAACTGCCACATAAATCACATCTGAATGTCCATTATTCCGAGCGCAAAATTCGAACATTTTTTCAATCGATATTTTTTTCCGCACACACACTGAATAAAAAATGACGATATAAATATTTTGCGGCTGCGAACGGGGGCGACGACGCACGACGATATATAACAATTTGAATATTATGTTAATCTGAAAGCGGCGTATATCACACTTCCCTCGCACATCCAAAATCCATCCGAAAAAATTGGATATTTACTCGGGGGTTATCATCGCTCGCGCGTCGTCGCCCCGCAAATGTTTGGCAGCGGCGGCGGCGCTTGTCGGAGACGCCGCATGCCAACATTTTTGCTTCACTCGCATCGCCGCTTTCCGAAAATCCGAATTTGTCAATGTTATCAATGTTATCGGCTTATCGCACATCCAGATCCCGCACCCGCTTGCTACCTCCACCGGATGTGGGACAGGAAATTCAATTAAAACTTTCGGCGTACACCTTGACTACTTTACTATCGGCAAAACGTAATTGTCTGACTTTACAAGGCGCAATTTAGTAAACTATGCATGCGTCGATAATTACTTTTGACTTTCACAACTAAAAAACAAAAACCCACAATATTTGACTTGCGGTATAAGTACTGAACATAGCTAATAACTTCCAGATACAAAATTATTCTAAACACCTAATTTTGCTAAATATCAGAAAATTACTCAGAGGATACTCTGAATTTTCATTGTATCGTTATCACGGATATCGCAAGATGAGGAATTTTGGCGCGCGCGCGAGTGAAGACACGAAAACTTTGGCAGGCGTGCCATCGCGCCGAGGAGGTGTAATCAAACTTGAGCATAATATGCACGCCGATGTGCAATGAACAATGTTTGCGCGATGCGAGGCAGGCAACCACCCCTGCGCTGTCAGCTGGAGTTTGTGTGGTGTGTGCCTCGTACAGTGAAGTCATCAAAGTGCATATTTTACACACAAATTTGATTATTTAAGTTCTGCGCACGAGATATACGTATGCACGGCACAGATTTACAATACATGCTCATAAAGTTGGATTACATAAACTTTTACGGCGAATAAAAAATAAAGTTTTATGCGTCAAACTTTCGGAAAACTTATATTCAGCATGTTTACAGTATATCTTTTTCGTGTCATGCTGGAATTTTGATTTTTTATGTTTTTTTTCCGCATATTTTTGGCAAAAAACACAAAATTATTTCTTGAACATTAAATTAATTAGTGTAACAATAAAGTCCTTTAAATTACGAACCAAATGATACATTTTTTACCCTTCTATGATGATTAGAACTCTTTAAAACAAAAAAATAAAAATTTAACTCACAGTATTTCCATTGTGTATACACAAGTCACGTTCCAGATTCCAATACATGGGCGCCTCCACCATTCTGTGAAAAATATAAATTTTAATTAAATAAATATTGCGAATAACTGGAAAATATGCTGAAGAAATGAATTGACACGGAACACACAGCGCCATTAAAACGAAATATAAATACCATTTTGCTCTGTAACTGCAAACAGTTAAACACGAATGCGTTGTCGATAAAGCAAATATTTATGGCGCTGTCAATAAAGCACAAAAATAAATAATATTAAATAAATTTCATTTGGATTTTCAGTTTCTGATTGTGTACGACAATAACGAATGTTATGTTTGCTGTAAATGCGAATTTACTGATCGTTACATTTTCAAATTTCCGAAATTAAAAAAGAACATATTAAGTTAACAAAAAACGCGTTTGACGAGTAAAATAACATGCATGCTGGAAAATATTGATGAATTAAATGGAAAATATGAGCGAGTAAATTTTCATTAATTTATTTGCCGTATTTTCAGCGAAACCAGCGGAAAAATGTGTTGTGAAAGCAACGCGGATGGAATGTAGTTAACAATTTTAAAATTTCAATATTGTGCGTAATAAATGAGGTGGTGAAACAGTTTTTAGGAAAATATAATGCACAAAAATTTAAAAACAAAAATGTTTTTGCGCCGCGGAATGAGAATTAAGTGAATAACTCGAAAACTATTTGCGTTAGCATTATGATTCATTCACTAGCACATTGAGAATTAAATTCTGTATCTAATTCTAGAAACATTTTGTTGATAAGATAAACAAATAAAGTTTGTATTGTAAAAATTCATAAATTCATCACAAATTCTTATGTATCTTATGATAAGAAACTGATGTCAATAAATTATTAATGTACTTATATACAGAATTTAATTCTTAATACATTATTGAAAGAATCACCACTCTACGTTATTTAGTTTTTGAATAATTAAAGAAAAACTTTTCATCAAACGATTCAACAAACATTCCCGCGCGACTTGTATTCATCGCTATGTCGCGTTGTTCCTGCGACACGAGCTTTTGTATTTATAAGCTTTTAGTTTTTCCATTAATAAATTTAAATTAAGTAACAAACATGTTGACTAAAAGCGTGCGTTGCGTTGGCTGTGTGAGCGCGCACGGTTGGTTGCCTAGAGAAGGTCGAGCTTTATCTATCCGAGCAGATTTCAATTTGCATTTTGCATCTTAATTGCGCATAAAACTTAATTAAAAACTTGGCGCAACAACAATGATTAAGTGCCGGCGCCTGTTGGCGTTCGCAAACGCTACCGGTGTGCTATACTACCTCCACAGCAGGGCTGCACGTAAATTGTTTGCACCTTGGGCAAAAATTATATTTGTGTCACGTGTAATAAAACACCAAAAACAAAAAAAATGAAAAATACACCAAAAATGTGTTTGCATTTATGCAAAAAATGTGAGAATATTTTACGGCTGGCAATTGACGTTCGGTGAATATTTTTCGAAAATGTGCGCGCTGCAAACACAAATTGAAAAGCAAACTCTGTCCGAATTCCTGATGCATTCGAATGTGCAGCAATTGATAGCTCGATCGACTTCGAATGCGAATTGTCGAAGCGTCCGATAGTTGAACGCATTTGAATAGTAAACGGTAGAAAATTGTGCGTAATTTCGGCCACCGATCAATTTACATCACATCACATTTCACATTCATCTCTGTACGCCGAGCAGCGCGCCTACAATGGCAGCGTTCCAAGCGATGGGAAAAATAAAATGTCATCGGGAGCGTCCTCTTAATTGATTGATATTGAATTGATTCGGTGATTCAGCTAGCGGTCGTATAAACTTATTAGGTTTATGGATGACTCGTCACTGCGTTCGCTAATTTCGAATAAATTGTTCATCTAGGTGGGGAATTTTCATTAAAGGCTGAAATTTTGCGAATTTTTCAGAGTGTTTTTTGGTGTAACTTCGGTATAAATAATACTAGCAACAATTTATTGATAGGGAATTATAGAGTGTCAAAATACAAATCGAATAATATTAAATTGAATGATTTTTGATTTTTGTAAATGGCGTAAAATGAGTTTAAAAATAGTTTTTGACTGAAAAAACTGAAATTTTGCCATTTTCGCGTTGGTTTTTGGCTATAACTCCTGAACAAATAATGATAACAAATATAATTTTACACCCAATTAAAGATAAATTAAAACCGAACAAAATGACGTTTCTGTTATTTTGATAGGATTTTTATAAGAAAAGTAATTAAGATTTGAAATTTTCATTTCAGAAATTTCAACAAAAATCGTCATTATTTTTACAAAATATTATATTATTTTAACTTTTTAAAAATACATTTATATCCAAGAACATTCCATTTTCAATTTTCCGTGTCGGAATGTGATATTTACCCCGTTCCATAAATTTTAATTAATTATTTAGCTAACAATAACTTGAACAACGCTTTTCAGCGTGTTTTTTCGCATTGTAAAACTGCCCTTAAATTAATTAAAAAACCTTTTTGTTTCCGTATTTACGTATTTTTAAACTTAATTAAGAGGCAAAAAACACAACTCATCAAAAACTATTTAATTAAATATTCTTTTATAATAAACAAACAAAAACAAAAAAAATCGTTAATAAATTAATTTACACCCGTTTTTCATTATAAAATATTTACCTGCATATTACGCTAATGAAATAATGTAATTTTCAAATATGATGCGGGATAATAATAATAATCGGTTTTGAAAGTCGCGTTAAGCCTAATGAAAACCTCAAATTGGCACTTAAAGAGCAATAAATTCGTGTTGGCGAATTAATCGCAGACGAGTTTCGAGCTTTGCGAAAGTCACCGACTTAATTTCATCGTCTCGGATACAAAACGCCAATAATAACAGCATTACCAGCGTCTCCCGCATGCGTCCAATTCAATTACGTCGCGCGTGCAAAGCGAAAATCCCAAGTGAAATATTTATATAACGCCCTTCCACTACGGTGCGCGCCACCGTCACCGAAATCAAAATCTAATTGTGACGATGGATTAAGCCACGCAATAAGAAACTCTTTGGCACGTATTGTAAAGTGGCGCGTTCGTTAGCACGCCGCGCGCGGCTTGGCGCGCAACTTCTTTGTGTTACAACAAATGTTGACTTTTCAACATTTCCAACGTCTTCAACATGAAAAGACCGCGCTGACGGAAGCAGGGCACATGCCGTAGAAGGATGGAGATAAAATCTGGGTGCGCGAAATCACGATTTTCATGAATGTAATATAAATTTGAGCCGGCGAACTTTCCGACCGCGATGACTCATGATAAAGAGATGTCAAGCTGGATGGAAATGAAAATTCAACATTTCCACAATCAAAAAACCGCGACGGGAAACGAGAAGTTGATTTATTGCTTGTCGGAGCAGTCGCTACCTATAATTGAGCTTTAAACTCATCAAATTAGCAAGTTTACCGCAAGTTTTACAAAGTTTTTACTCGGTTACCATTAAATTTCGTAGTTTTTCGGCTGTAACTTTCGAACGCCTAATGTTATCTTAACTTGTTGGGTGTGTACTTAAAGATTTTTTCATTACGAATAAAACTTGATTAAGCTTGCATCTGCGAGAGCTTTGGACGCGAAGATATAAAGCTTTAAACATTTTTATCCTGAATAAAAATTACGTAATTTTTTAGTTTTTTTGCAATTACTTTGGAATAAAACAAGATAAATAATAAAATTTAGTATCAAATTAAAGAGAATTTAAAGACGAATCAAATGATACTATGATTGTTTATTTATAATAATAATTACGACCACAGCGAGTTTTTGAATTTTTTTTCACGAAAATACATTAAATATTACAAGCCTTTTAGAGCTGAAACTTAAAGTAGGTAATAAAGTTTGCCAAGTTATGCGCACTTTTTCCATCAAACACGTGTGTTGCGTGCAATGTCGGCGTTTTTTTCTATGATTTACGATGCGCAATATATTTAGTATCGACCTGGTGCACGCGCCACACTGTAGCAAATCGAGTTATTTTCATTTGCATGCGTCTTTCGCGCTTGACTACCGACCGAACGCGTTGGATTTTCCGTTTTTGTTTGGTTTTATTTTTGCGCTTAATCTTTCTTTCGGTGACCTATTTGTAAGCGCCAGTGCCAGCATATTGAGGCGCTACTTAGGCGCATAAGTCACTTTTAGCGCCGAAGCAATTTGCCTCCACGCTGCTCGGCGTATCATCACCATTTTTATCCGCGACACCGGAATCTGTGCGCGCGATAATTCCGCACATAATTCTAAACAATTCGCTTCGGATTTGTGCCCGGCGCTTATTTCGCTTTATTTCTTTCCGTGCGCAGCTTTGTTTATCGTCTGCATGTTTTTTTCGTCTTCTATTTGTACCTTGTGTTGTTGTTTTTTTGCGTTTTCTTTTTTCGATGCGAGAGAGATGTTAATACGGCTATGGTTGTTTGGTTTCTGCCGGCTTCGCTTTGTCGCTTTGTTGCCTTTTGCAAATCTTCTCGACAAACACACATAATTTCTCGTGTGCCGTGTGCGCGAAAGCTCAAAGCTCTCGGCGTAAAGCTGTTTGATGTTATCTGGTGTGCGCGCGGGGAGGCCATCATGAAAGGGCGCGCGCTTCGATTTTTCCGCGCTTGCTTCCGGCCCGCCGCGGAGCTCTTTTCGGCCGGCCGTGCGCCATTGCCAGAGAGATATAACAATGTGCGCGTGCATGTAATTCAATATTCGCCCGACACTCGCGCTTCGCTGCCGGCGAAATAAGAGAAACGAAGCGCGCGCTTCCATCGCGTGCTCGTGTTTCTTTTGCGGTGGCGGCAACTGCGGAGAATACCGACTAGCGTCTTATTCTTTTATGCATAACGCATAACTCATAATGTAACGACGTGAGTTGTGTTTTTATTAAATTTTATTCTCATTCGCACACATATGCACATAACTCTTTTGCGCCGCTATTGGAATCTGAAGTTTCTAGGCAAATAGTTGACAGGTTAACACGCGTTGCCATTGGTTTCGAATCGAGATGCGAGATGCTTTTATTGACGGGCGCCCATTTGCATAT